GACATATTTTGGTTGAATGCATTCACTTGTGCTACTGACTAGGTATCCCCTTTTCCTTCCCTGTCCCTAATGCTCCAGCTGTTCAGCCACATTATCATTTTAGAGAGCAGACAGCCCTGGGCTAATAAGTGTGGCACGTTACAGATCTCAGATCAGCAGCTGGACTCACACCATACGCAAACACACACACACAAACACACACATATACACACCATCCAACAGGAATCCCAAAAGACCATCAGTCATGCTTTCCCACCCAAGCAAGATGATGCATTGGGGAACTGGCTAGTTTATATATGTATGGTAATCCTTACTGAATGAATGACAGGCTGCCTTTGTGTGTTTGGTGGCATCACTCCATGGAGGATTTGCACCTCTACCCTACTGTCTCGATGCAACCTGGGAACTGAGATATGACATTGGCTATTGCCAATGAAATTATTGGCACAGGTTTAAACCCGTGACCGCTTTGACTACTTACTACCTTTGCCTGTCTGTTGGTTTATAACGGAAGACAGCCACACTTAGCAGGACACTTCTTTATGTCAAACAGGGTCTTCTGCTGTAACTTTCTCAGTGACCTCTGGAGAGGAACCAAACATTTGTTGGGGTTCAAGGGGTCCCCATTGCCAGAGGCTGCCTTACTCAACCATTCTGGCTATGGTAGAATTCTGTGCTCCTGCCCTGTGGGCTAGCCAGTGTCTCCCAGGGTCTGGTTAATCCTCTTATTCACCATGCAGCAGCATGCTGGTTGTTTCACAGACCCACAGCCCTCTTAATATATAGGCTACATACACACACAAGGCTGGCTGGCCACTCTCTGTTGGAGAAACACACTGATGTGGTTGTGGTCTCTCTCTCTCTCTCTCTCTCTCTCTCTCTCTCTCTCTCTCTCTCTCTCTCTCTCTCTCTCTCTCTCTCTCTCTCTCTCTCTCTCTCTCTCTCTCTCTCTCTCTCTCTCTAACTAGTAAGCTCAGGATTACTCATACAATAAAGTATCTCCCCTCACTGGACAAGCATTTTTTGGGGGAACTATTCAGTCCCTCTCTTGAGTTGCAGGACTGCATAATTCCCGTCCTCGATTGTCACGATCGTCGGATACAGAGGACCAAGGCGCAGCGTGGAAGGCGAACATACTTTTATTTATTAGAATAATCACTCGAACAAAACAACAAATCGATACGTGACGTCCTCGGTTCAAACACAAACCTACACTGGAACAAGATCCCACATAAAACAATGCCAAACGGCTACCTAAGTATGGCTCCCAATCAGAGACAACGAGCTACAGCCGTCTCCGATTGGGAGCCACCCTGGCCAACATAGAAATACAAAACTAGAACAAACAAAGAAAACTCACACCCTGGCTCAACATACAAGCGTCCCCAGAGCCAGGGCGTGACAGTACCCCCCCCCCCCCAAAGACACGGACTCCGACCGCGCCAACCAAACACCACAGGGGAGGGACCGGGTGGGCACTCCGCCTTGGCGGCGGATCCGGCTCCGGGCATGATCCCCACTCCCTCTCTAACCCCCCAAAGTACCCCTGGTCCGGTCTGGCCCTGCTGGCCGGAGCTGGACTGAACACTGGTGGAGCGGATTGCTCTAGCTCCGGCGTGGAGCAGCTGACCGGTGCCGGACCAGGCACCGGTGGAACAGGCACGGGCTGTGCCGGACTGACGACGCACACCACTGGCTTGGTGTGGGGAGCAGGAACGGGCCGGACCGGGCTGACGAAGCGCACCACCGGCTTGGTGCGGGGAGCAGGAACGGGCCGGACCGGGCTGGCGAAGCGCACCACTGACTTGGTGCGGGGAGCAGGAGCGGGCCGGACCGGGCTGACGACGCGCACCACTGTCTTGGTGCAGGGAGCAGGAACGGGCCGGACCGGGCTGACGAAGCGCACCACTGACTTGGTGCGGGGAGCAGGAACGGGCCGGACCGGGCTGACGAAGCGCACCACTGACTTGGTGCGGGGAGCAGGAACGGGCCGGACCGGGCTGACGAAGCGCACCACTGGTTTGGTGCGAGGGGCAGGAACAGGCCGGACCGGGCTGGCGACGCGCACCACAGGCTCGGTGCGAGGGACAGGAACAAGCCGGACCGTACTGGGAACACACACCACTGGCCCTACGCGGGGATCAGGAACGGGCCGGACCGGACTGGCAACACACCCCAGTACCTCTCGCCGTGCCTCTACATCCTCCTTCCCCCTGGTGACCAGTGACTCCCGTAACCTGGCGGCCTCCTGCTGCCCCGTCGTCCACGGCGTGAGCCCCCCCCTAAAAATCTTCTGGGCGTCTCTCCTCCCCGTGGGCCAGGCCTCCATAGCTCTCGCCAGACTTTCGCTCCTCTGCTCCAAAGTCCAGCCTCTCTCCTCCTCACGCTGCTTGACCCAGTCGAGGTTGATATTCATCAGAGTCACCTCTGGCGTTGGCTCCTGGACACGCTGCTTGGTCCAGTTATGGTGGGATCTTCTGTCACGATCGTCGGATATAGAGGACCAAGGCGCAGCGTGGAAGGCGAACATACTTTTATTTATTAGAATAATCACTCGAACAAAACAACAAATCGATACGTGACGTCCTCGGTTCAAACACAAACCTACACTGGAACAAGATCCCACATAAAACAATGCCAAACGGCTACCTAAGTATGGCTCCCAATCAGAGACAATGAGCTACAGCCGTCTCCGATTGGGAGTAACCCTGGCCAACATAGAAATACAAAACTAGAACAAACAAAGAAAACTCACACCCTGGCTCAACATACAAGCGTCCCCAGAGCCAGGGCGTGACATCGATGTTGAGCGTCAATCAGGATTCAGATTCAATTATCACTGGAAGGATATTGTAATGGCAAAAGGTGTGATAAAAACTCTTCAGAAAATCACTCCTATCATTTTATTCAGTTGACTACAGTATTATCATTCAGAGAAATGCAGAATGAATCTGTCTGCCCCATTGTTACTGATAGTTTTACCTCCTCCTCCATCATTTACCCAGTCAGGGTGAATGATGGAGGAGGAGGTAAAACTATCAGTAACGATGTGTGTGTTCAACCTTCTTCATTATTCATGAGCACTGTACAATGAGACCGCACATTCTTTCCGCCATTGTTCTACACACTATATGGCTGAGTCATCAAACCCACCAGCAGCACTTTTTGCATTCTGATGAAGATAATGAGGTAGTAGAGTTTGATAGCAGGAGTTCAACAAAGCTTTCGACAGTCAATGTTTTTTTGGGCTTTAAATTAGTTATTTACCAACATTATTCCCTTGAATAAAACAAGTAATAAACAAGGCAACAGTAAACATGTCGTCCCCCATGAATGATACAGATTTGCTCTTTGTAGTCTCACGCCACAATGGCAGACGGACTTCTCTCCTGTGTCCTCCTTTGTCACATGAACACGGTGCTCTGTAACTGAACCTATGGGCTGTTTGATCTGTGCATGTATGAGCGATGTGCCATGAAGACTGGTTTTTGTTTGTCCAACTCCATTCATACAACGTTACAACAGGAAATTGAAACCTGGTGTCTGGACATAGGCTATGAGGCTAACCCCTTGGTGAAATAAAAACCTCTGTTGATTGAGTGAAACCGAACCGGGGGCCATTCAGACAGGGTCAGGCAATCAAGGAGACAACTCGACAAGACAATGGCACAAGAAGTACCTGTCTGGGAGTGTAGCTCTCAGTTACTTGGCATGACCTCTTGTGATAACTACATGAGATGGTAGCACTGTACAAGCCATGTAAAATAAATGTGCACTGTCAAATGTCCTTTTTAGTTCCTTGAATATTTTCACTCAATACATTTTTGAAAGATATTCAATGTTGGTCGAGACAATTGTAGTTTCCATTCGTAACCACCACAAATGTAGGCGCTGGGCCACAATGAGTTAAGCACCCCAGATTGTAATTTAAGGAAAGCTTCTTGTTCCCTTTCAGTCACAGGTGCACCACTGATCCTTAAAGAGGAAAGGTAATGCCATTCATCATGGTCATGGACGATCACCAGACAAAGCAAGACGAGCCCAGATTGTAATCCTCTGTTGATGCTAAATAGGGATATATTCATGGTGCCCTTGACCTCACACACATGCAAACACAACACATACACAAATGCACATGTACAACACACACAAACACATACGTAGTCAAGCAGACATGCATGTATGCACACACACACACAGTGTAATATAATGAAGCCTATTGAATGAACCGGTGCTGGAAATGGACAGGTGTTTCATGTCATGAGTAGAAAACATCATTGCCGGCTAGCGTTCCATTCTGTATGGTCTCAGTATGGTGCATCAGAAGGTCAGACAAGGGAGACAGGGACACTGAGGATGTATCTCAATAATCATAAAAGGCTTCCTCTCCTTGTACCATTCCCTCATCTGCACTGAACGGAAAGAATAGGACTGGTGAAAGCCAAATACTCTTGTAGGCAATCATATCTCTCGGATCAGCGAGGGAGAGGAGAGGAGGATAGGAAGCCCTTGTAGAGATGTCCCTGTCTTGGAAAGAGACGCGTTGGTTTAAGGCCAAAGAAGACAAAGTTTTGTGTGTGAGTGAGTGAACTTCCAGCCCTTGACCTTTTAACAAGGGGTCACGACCCTTGGCTGACCCCAGTGTTAGACGGCACAGACCAGTGAAGTCCAACAATGTGAGGAAGACCACAAGATAGAGGTGAGAATGAAGAGAATGAGAAAAGGGGAAAAAGAGATCTATTTATCACTTCTAGTTTCCTAATAATTATTTTAGTAGTTGCGGGACTATATCCCTTTGCACCTTTTAGATGATATCCTCAATGACTATCTAAACCAGCTCAGTATACAACACGTAGCGAAGGCTATGCAGCGGCATTCTTTGAACTCCCCAGAAGAGTTACTGGTATACTGCTTTGGGAAGATTGTGAGAAAAGTGGACTTTTGCTTGGTCGAAGACATTTAATCCAGGATTAGACAAATAAATTATATCCCAGGCAAACATGAAAACAGCCCAGCAGAGCATGAGGCCCCATCCTCATCTTCTTCCAACCAGAGTCAAGTCAGGTCAAGATTTGGACATGGTTTAAGACCCTTTTCACAATATTGTGCCAACCCGAACCATAATGTGTAGACTCTTTTTACATTGACCCTTCCAGCACGTTTCCAGTACTGATGGAATTTGGGGCCTATGCATTTGTAAGTGAATTTGTTTTTTATAAAGGAAAACAAGCTTCTTTCATCCCCCAGATGACAATCTTTTGTAGACAAAATGCTCAACTATGGAGGAATGCTGTTTAAAGGTTGGACATGTTTGGAAAGGTCAAACCGGTACTCCAACCCTCTCTTCTATTCAGTTCCTCCTGCTTTCAAACAGCACCTTTCGTGCACATTCACAGTGATGTTCCCAAAACGTTTGGTGCTACTTCAGTCGCTCTGCGTGGGTCCCTCATGTCCACGCTTTTTGAAAACCTTTGGAGTTATTAACGTTGCGGAAATGTAGCAAATTCCCCATTCTTGGACATCACTTGGTTTCAGTAACATTTCAAGAACATTTGGTGTAATCGGTTTCCCTATGCTTTAGTGAGCAGGTGCTTTGTGCAAGCTATGCTAATGAGGCATGTTGGTTCTGACAGTAACTCTTCCGTAATGACCTGGCAGTGTAGCCCTGAGGGATCTGGCTCCAATTAATTATCCAGCAGGACTATTATGGCATTATAATGATAAAATATCACCTCCTAATCATTCTGCAGCACTGGTACAGCAAAATGCAAGTATAATTATGTCTGCTGGTGAGGTGTGTGTGTGCTTGCGTGCATGTATGGATGGTTTTCTAGAGACAAGTAAACAAACACGCATGGATATATTCCACAGACAACCCCCAGAATGCATTATGTTAATGGCTGAATTTAAAATGTATTAAATTGAGATGTTTTGTCACTGGCCTACACACAATACCCCATAATGTCAAAGTGGAATTATGTTTTTAGAAATTGTTATACATTTAAAGAAAATGAAAAGCTGAAATGTCATGAATCAATAAGTATTCAACCCCTTTGTTATGGCAAGCCTAAATAAGTTCAGGAGTAAAAATGTGCTTAACAAGTCACATAATAATTTGCATGGACTCACTCTGTGTGCAATAATAGTGTTGAACCCTTTGACACGTACGATCACATATTGTGATCATTGTTGACTAGTACCATCACAAATATGTGATTGGAACAGAAGCAACAGAATGTATGATGCAACAAACGCGTCTAAACATCATTGTTGTCTGAAAAGCATCTTAACAATGTTTTGTACTGATGGGAAATAAAGGTCTTCACAACTTTATTCCTCAATTTCACCTTTTATTGTAAAAGATAAATGCGAACTTCATCATCCAAACATCACACGCAACACTGCCAAACCAGTCTAAATAACAGGTTGCGCTGACAAAAAAAAAAAACATAAGTTAGCGACCTAACAGCTAGACTTGTTTACAATGTACCTCATCTCTGGTGAGCACAAGTGAGAAATGTAATATTGTTTAGAAAAGAGATGGGTGTCAGCTAAGATAACAGCAGCTAAATTCTTTATGATGGTTTATGTTTGACAAGCGAAAACTCTCTAATCCCAGAATGCCATTCACTATAAGACGCACATAATCAAAGTCAAAGATGGCTGCGCCCATTGCCTGAAAAATATGAACTTAGTTTGGCCACTTTTCAGCATATTACAAATCTTCAATGTACTTGTTACAGTGTATACAAGAACTGGAGCACATGACTTGACAAGTCGTTTACAGTTTTTGACAAATCACAAAGCAAATCAAGTGTTATCACCTCACAGATCATCACCCCAAATACAAGCCTACTGCCTTGCCTAACAGTAGTGCGAAAGCTAAACAGGGATGAAACCAGTTTAGGGGGGTTTGTCCATTATATTATTATGTTGTTTTGTTGTCCATGGGGGATAGATATTGGGGAAGGTATCATGGGGGGTTTTGATGAAGGAAATATTAATATGATGGGGGAGTTATCAATAAATGGGGGGCAAACACAGGAGAAGTTTATACGCTAAATACAAATAAAACCCCTGGAAAGGGGGGTCTGAGCTGGCAACCCTGATGTATCATAGTTACAATCTGATGCCATGTTGAAAACAACTGGGAACTGGGAACTCGGAAATCTCCGACTTCCACTTCAGTGCGTTCAAGACAACTGGGAACTCGGAAAAAAACGAGATCTGCTTGGGGAAAATAATTTTGAACGGTCATCCAACTCGGAATTTCAACTTGGGAACTCTGAACTCTTTCTAGAGCTCCGACCTTCCGAACTGAAGATCACTGACGTCATGATTTGAGTTCCCAGTTGTCTTGAATGCACCATAAGTCAATCGAGTGAACTATCCCTTGTTATAACATCTTGGATCTGACAGACGTTTACGTGACACCCAGAATGCATTGTATGATGTCAACAAACATGGCGCCACACATAGCTGGAAAATAGCTTAGCATTAGCTCATCATAATCAGTACAACCTTCAAAAAAGTATTTTACACACATCATATGTGTCCATTACGATCTATGCAAGAATCAGAGTGCATTATTTGTCACCAGTACTTGAAAACATGTGAATAAAACAGTAAATACATTATGCTCCATACATACATATGCTATGCTACAGTAGAAATGACAACACAATATACAGAAAATAAGGCACTTACTTTGATAGGAACGCACACATGTCCAAAGTTATTATTTGTAGGGAAAACAGCAATGAAGGCAATGCGAGCAACAGCCAGAAAATGTGCCAGGGAGACGGCCATTTTTGATCTGGGTGAACACTGGGGAAGTGCTTGGGCTCTCCTTGAAGAGAGAAGTTTGTCCGGCTTAGTAAAGCCTCAAACATAAATTGTCCGCAACAGTGAAATGGGCTCCTTCTTATGTGAATTAATGAGGAGGTTGAACGCACCTCAATTCAAACTGTTGTTAGAAACTAAAACTTGTTCGAAAATAATTTGAAATTGCCAAGTTGAAACATATCCTATAGATAATTAGCAGGCAGCATGTCTTGGTTTGAGGGAAGCGATGGTTAACTGTCCTGTTGCGTAACAATCACATTTTGGAACAATCACGCATCACGCACATAAAAAAACTCACATTGGGCCGACCGTTAGAGATATTTGGAACTCACGCATGAAAAGGTTAACATGATTTTTGAATGAATACCTCATCTCTGTACCCCACACATACAATTATCTGTAAGGTCCCTCAGTCGAGCAGTGAATTTCAAACACAGATTCAACCACAAAGACCAGGGAGGTTTTATAATGCCTCGCAAAGAAGGGCACCTATTGGTAAATGGGTAAAAAAAAACATTGAATATCCCTTTGAGCATGGTGAAGTTATTAATTACACTTTGGATGGTGTATCAATACAGCCAGTCACTACAAAGATACAGGCGTCCTTCCTAACTCAGTTGCCGGAGAGGAAGGAAACCGCTTAGGGATTTCACCATGAGGCCAACGGTGACTTTAAAACAGTTACAGAGTTTAATGGCTGTGATAGGAGAAAACTGAGGATGGATCAACAACATTGTAGTTACTCCACAATATTAACCTAAATGACAGAGTGAAAAGAAGGAAGCCTGTACAGAATACAAATATTCAAAAACATGCATCCTGTTTGCAATAAGGCACTAAAGTAAAACTGCAAAAAATGTGGCAAGAAATTAACTTTATGTCCTGAATACAAAGAGTTATGTTTGGGGTCAAATCCAACACAACACATCACTGAGTACCACTCTTTATATTTTCAAGCATGGTGATGTCTGCATCATGTTATGGGTATGCTTGTCATCGGCAAGGACTAAAGAGTATAAAAAAGAACTGAATAGAGCTAAGCACAGGCAAAATCCTAGAGGAAAATCTGGTTCAGTCTGCTTTACAACAGACACGGAGACAAATTCACCTTTCAGCAGGACAATAACCTAAAACACAAGGCCAAATATACACTGGAGTTGCTTACCAAGACGTCATTGAATGTTCCTGAGTGGCCTAGTTACAGTTTTAACTTAAATTGGCTTGAAAATCTATGGCAAGACTTAAAAATGTCTGTCTAGCAATGATCAACAACCAATTTGAAGAATTTTTAAAAGTGTGTTTTATTTTTACAAATGTTAGAATTTCTCTTCCACTTTGACATTACAGAGTTTTTTGTGTAGATCTTTGACAAGAAATGACAATTAAATCAATTTTAATCCTACCTTGTAACACAACAAAATGTGGAATAAGTCAAGGGGTGTGAATACCTTCTGAAGGCACTGTAAATCTTACTCATTATTCTCAAAATGGAGCAAATGTCTTCAGATGGAAAAGATAACAGATTGTTTTTATTGTATAATCTCAGACCTCCCTCTTTTGCTGATATTTTCTCATATATAACTCTAAATGAGTGGTTCTCAATGTTGCACTGCACATAATGGCCTATATGCAATATTGTTATGTGTAATAACACATTATTCTTTGTTTTTTTGCCATGATCTTTTGGAATGAGGGTATCGTGAGTTGATCTCAAATAAAAACAGACCAACTCAGGATGATTGAGAGGCTGTGTGAACGTATAATAATTCTGGTGCCATGATGACAATAATCCAGGCTGATTTAATGAAATGACATACTTGGACATAAACAGAGCTGTTTTTGAGAACTATTTTCTTTCTGTTGCAGCTGAACTGGTGCAAGGATACGGATACCGGGCCCAGCGCAAATTCTCAGAAGACATCGACTGGTCCTATGCGGGTGAGTGTGGAGTGGACCATATGAGTTTGGTTACATTTTCAATGTCTATCTCAGTGGGATACATTGGGATAAATTATTGATATATTGAAGTTAAGTGATTTTGGTGCATTGTAATACCAAAGAACAGTTGAAGTGTTACCCTGTATATTGAATGGGTTCCTTAGCCATGAATCCACAGGTGGTCAGGAGTGGAGTGGCACTCTGGTGGAGATAAGACTTTGATGTCTGCTGGACTGCCACGCTGTGTCCTCAAAGCTCCTCTTATGATGTGTGTGTGTGTGTGTGTGTTGGTGTGTGTGTGTGTGTGTGTGTTGGTGTGTGAGTGTGTTGGTGTGTCGGTGTGTGTGTGTGTATGCGTGCGTCCACGGCTGTGCGGGTGCGCAGGCACACAGTGAGTGAGTATGTGATTGATAAGTAGTGTGCTTCAAAGAGATGACTGGGATACGCTAGTATTTTGAGCTGGTAGTGACAGACAATATCAGACTTGCAGTCATAGACTACTAGTTGCTTGTGACTTGAATACTGTGTGTGTGCGTGAGTAATGCAATAACAGATAACCACAGAGATTGTCTAGTCTGGGCATGTGTAAAATATCAGAAGGGATTAACTTTGTCTTTATCTGTTTGACTCATCCTTAAACTGAGCTGTTATGGCTTCCAATAAACCTATTAGACTATACTGGTCTTGCCTAGTGACTGGTTAGAGAAGAATGGAGTAGCCTAGTCACAAAGCTTGTTCTCCTCACAAAGCTTGTACCCTGGAGTAGACTGGGATTTACTTAGGAATGGCCACTCCTGGCATCTCTATATCAGCCATTATTTGAGAGGAAGCACAAGGATGTGTGTGTGGCAGACATCTAAAGAGTAGGCCATTTGCAGAATATACTCACCAGCAATAATATTTTTTCTAAGTGTCTACAATGCAGGTCATAATGAATAGCTTGGTTTCATTCACGTCTTCTGAAACGGGGATGCCAAAGAGACCTGGGAATTAATGTCCTATTTGAAAATATAATTTGATAAAACATTCATGCATTCTCTCCCCTTCTCTTGAAGATCATCTGAACCCATTCCAATTTTCCCCCTTGGTCTCATTTTGAGATTTGCATTTGAATACGTATTCCCTTAGAAATTAATTTGATCTTCATGAATTCTCCTGACGTTTGGCAAAGTGGTTTGGTATTGTGTGGAGAGAGATCAACCAGGAAATGGATTGGTAATCATTGGGGGTCATTTGGGGCCTTGTTCCAATAGTAAATGGCATGGCCTTCTCTCTCCCCTTTACTCTATGACCACTGACAAGTTTCAACTGAAATGTTTTCAATGAAGAATTGGCCTATGCTTGGGTTATCAGGTGGGGAGATGAGAAAGGAAGACCTATTTACACTAAAGTTCAAGTTCAGGTCAGAATATGGCCCGCAATCTCTTTTCAACTAATGTTGACAACATCCAAATATGCACAATATTGTAACTGTCACGCCCTGATTCAGGGGACTCTTATATGTTGAGTCAGGGTGTGGATATTCTATGTTGTATTTTCTATGTTTGTGTTCTAGTATGTTTAGATCTATGTTGGCCGGTGTGGTTCCCAATCAGAGGCAGCTGTCGCTCGTTGTCTCTGATTGTGGATCATACTTAGGCAGCCTATTGGCACTCGTTAGTTGTGGGATCTTGTTCTGTGTTGGAGGCTTGTATTGTTGTTAGCCTTAGGACTTCACGTTTCGTTTGGTTTGTTGTTTTGTCGTGTGTTTATCAGTTAATAAACATGTACGCATTTCACGCTGCGCCTTGGTCTGACCCGTCCTTGAACGAACGTGACAGTCACACATGCTGTTAAACTGTGCAAGAGCTATAGTGTGTTGGTGTAGCCTTATTTGACAGTGACAAATTGTCAAAGAGGTTTATACACACACACACATACACATACACACATACACATTCACACACACAAAAACACCCCTGTTCACACACACACACAACACTAGGGACTCTCTTCTCAGGAACTAAGCTTTATTTATTTTTTTAGCCATGGAGAATTCCCTGGTGGTGAGAGAATTCCCTGTGTTAGGCTCTGGGACCCATATTTGGAAAGTAGGGCACATTCAGCTCCTGGTTTGGAGCGGCTGTTTAGCCTAGCTTGTCTGATCTGTGTTAGATGAGACATGACATGGGTAATGACTAGCCAATACGGCATAGACTGTATGATGTGTAGCAAACATGTGTGTATTTCTATTCAATTCAACATTGACTTTGATACAGTTTATATTATTAGCATGGTTATATTTTGTACAGTTGCCAAACAGTCAGTAATACAGCATATTCTACTAAATAGATGCATAATTTGGCATGGAAATGTACTATGAATATTTACTATGACCCTCAGGCAGTAGCACACAATAATCACCCCCCCATTCCCCCCATCTCTCTGTCAATCTTGGCTTTCACTAGACATGACAAGAAAAAAATATATTATCTTTCCCCCCTTGCACCCCTCTCTACCCATTTACATTTACATTTTAGTCATTTAGCAGACGCTCTTATCCAGAGCGACTTACACCTCTTGCTATCGTTGTGTTCTCCTCTCTTCCCTCTCACCTCTCTCTCTCTCTCTCTCTCTCTCTCTCTCTCTCTCTCTCTCTCTCTCTCTCTCTCTCTCTCTCCCTCTTCTTCTCACTGTCTAGTCTACCCCAACCCCTCTCTAAACACTCTCTCTCCCTCTTCTTCTCACTGTCTAGTCTACCCCAACCCCTCTCTAACACTCTCTCTCCCTCTTCTTCTCACTGTCTAGTCTACCCCACCCCCTTCTAAACACTCTCTCTCCCTCTTCCCTTTGCTCCCTCTCTCTCTCTTTACCACACAGCCTTCCCATACCGGTCGGCGTCACAACAAACTGAATCTGGGTGACAATTGGGAGACTGGCACAACAATGGGGACATTATTGGGTCAGGGCACAGACAAGTGGGCACAGTCAGCCAGATGGGGGGACACCCTGCATTCCGACTGCCAATGCCACCCTAAACATGCCCCTGTCCCTCCCCCACTTCCCTGTCCTCGATAACCTCCCCCGTCTATAGGCCTATTGCATAACTAGCATCAACAGAGAAACAGCCCTGGTCCAATGGCCCAATGGCTACCCTGTGCTTGAGGAAGTTTTTGTTGGAGGCTTGAAGATATATTAGAAATAGAAAAGCAGTTGAGAGAGATCAATGTTCAGATAAACTTGTTCATTCCAGGTCTATCTCATGAAGCTGGTTGAGAGAATGCCAAGAGTATGAAAAGCTGTCATCAAGGCAAAGGGTGGCTATTTGAAGAATCTCAAATATTAAATATATTTTGTGTTGTTTAACTTACTACATGATTCCATATGTGTTATTTCATAGTTTTTATGTATTCACTAGTATTCTACAATGTAAAAAATAGTGGGGAAAAAATGAAAAACCCTTGAATCAGTAGGTGTGTCCAAACTTTTGACTGGTAGTGTATGTAAATAAGATATTTCTGTATACAAGTGTCTGGAACTCTATTTTTAGGGATTCGACACCATTATTCCATGAAAAATTCCATAATTTGGTGTTTTGTTGATGGTGGTGGAAAACACTGTCTCAGGTGCCACTAGAAAAAAAGTGTTTGTTTTTTACAAATCCATACTTGGAGTCAAAGTATAATATTGCGATATGTAACTGTATCTATTTTATGAAATCGGCTGAATGCAACGAATGAAGCTAAGCAAAGCAGCGCTGACCCTGTCCATTACAGTTTTTTTCAATTGTTTAAGCACAATTTTGAAAACAGGGCCCGGTTTGTCAAAACACTACACACAATTAGCACAGCCCTACACCAAAGTAGCACAACACTTCAGATCTTTTGCAAAATGGAACACTTTTGTCAAAATTATGCACAACTTCATAAAAACAATATTTTGTTACCATACGAAACACACACATTTCATATGACTTCAATCTTTTTGAACCAGTTACACACTGCCTTTGCAAACCTAAAACACCTTTAGCAAGTCTAATTCTCAATGATTAGAGTACTGTAAATGAAGTACACAGAGAAAGTGCAACTATACAAACACTACACAAGACCAATGCTGCAGACTGAGGAAAATATCATTTATTTCTCTCCATATACCCAAATCAGTCAACATGTCAACATGGAGAATCACAACAAAACATGTCCCAGTTTTCATGCTACTACAGTAGTGTGCATAACACTGTTAGCTCAGCAAACAACAGACAAACGTAAAATACAGTATCCAGTACAGTTTACAATTACAGTAAATAACAACAACAAACATAAAAAATAATCTGAAAAAACTGACAATATTGTACAGAAAATACTACAGTAAACATACTATACATTATCCCTTCGCTTAGCTGGATCTGGCCAGAGAATTTCATCAACATCACAAGCAATATCCTCATTAGCAAGACAACGCGGGAACAACCGTCTTGAATGTCGAATCCATCCTGCGGCGTCGACTTGGTCACAGGCGTCCTCCATGGCCTGAATGAGGGGTACCTGAGCCTGGGGCTGGAGATCGTAAACCTTCCACCGCCATGCAGAGAAAAACTCTTCGATAGGGTTTAGAAATGGAGAGTATGGTGGAAGGTATAGTACTGTCAACTGTGGATGGTGTTGAAACCAGTTCTGGACCAAAGCAGAGCGGTGGAATGACACATTGTCCCAGATGACAGTGTATTGCATCTGGTGCATTTCATTTTTTTCATTACCTGCTGTGACGATGTGGTGCAATCGGTCCAAAAATGCGAGAATGTGAGGTGTGTTGTAAGGGCCCATTTTGGCATGACGGAGGAGAACCCCATGCTCTGAAATGGCAGCGCAAAGGGTGATGTTACCCCCACGTTGCCCTGGGACATTGATTATAGCCCTGTGGCCAATGATATTTCTGCCTCTCCTTCTTGCTTTTGTGAGGTTGAACCCTGCCTCATCAATATATATGAATTCATGCAGGATTTCCTCAGCATCCATCTGCAAAACTCTCTGAAATACAGTGAAAGACAAGATTGTGTAGTTCAGGATAGGTCTAGTATACAGTCAATGTAATAAAGTCATGTGTGCAGTATGCAACATCACAGTGCTAAAGTGAACAATACAAACCTCCACATACTCATGCCGCAGCCGTTTGACCCTCTCTGAATTCCGCTCAAAAGGCACTCGATAAAGTTGTTTCATTTGAACCTGATGTCTTTTCAGGATGCGTGCCAGTGTTGACTGAGAGACCTGATGGACATTATTGAAAATGGCATGGTCACCGATAATGTTGGCTTGTAGTTCTCTGAGCCTGATAGCATTATTGGCCAAAACCATGTTTATTATCTCTCTCTCTTGTTCTTGCGTGAATATGGGCCCCCTTCCTCCTTGTCATTCCTGACCCTCAATCCTATGTAGAGAATAATACATGTAACTTACTGTACAATGTCACAGGAAGGGGTATCACAAGTGCTGATATGGTGCATACAATAAGCGGCTGATTACTGTAACTGTAGACAGATCTTTTACCTGTTTTCCTGTCGAAAAGTCCTTATGACAGATGCCACTGTATATCTGCTAAGATTTGGCTGAACTCTCAGTCCAGCCTCCCTCAGCGTCAATCCGTGGTTCACAACATGGTCCACTAGTGTTGCACGAATGTCATTTGATAAGTTTGGTGCTCTTCTTCTTTGTGCACGTTCTCCTCCTGCTTCAGGTCTTCCTCGACCTCTGGCTCGGCCTCTGCCTCTTCCTCTACCTCCTTCTCCTCCTCTGTGTACTCCTCCTCTCACCCACTCTTCTTCTGACTCCTTCCATTTTGGTTGAAGGCAGGTGAACCTACCTGCTGCATTTTTATAGTGCTTAAACCTGATTGGTGTGTCTACAATTTAGCAATCATGTGTTTGTGCACCTGATGGCTGTGTTTAACAGATTGGCTCATAGGTGTGGTAATTTGACAGTCAGTGCTTTGGAATTGCAAGGAAGTGACATCATGATATACTTCTGTGTCTGATGTATACAAGTGTGTTTAGTGTTTTGCAAATCACTGTGTGTAATGTTTTGCAAATAGTGTGAAGCTGACAATGTGCTTACAGTTGTGCAAATCTAGCCTTGTGTTTTGCTCCTTGAGTGTAAGGTTTTGCTAATTGTGGGAAAAGTTTAATTTTACTGTGTAAGCAATCGTAAAAAACTGTAACAGTGACTGGAATCAGGAACAGCCGCACGCGTCAGCGATTTGAATGGATGGAAAGGAAAGCATGAATACCCAGGTGCCTTTCCTGAGGTTTTGATGCAGTTTTAGCAAATGTTGAGATTTTGAGCATAAAAACCACCAGAACCATTGAGAAAAAACATTAGATAACAAAAAACAATGATTTTTTTTTTTATGTGGCTTTTCATAATAGCTTTTTCTTATACAATTATCACAGGGTAAGCACTGCCTACCCTGAGTGTACGACACTGGCACGCACACACACACACACACACACACACACACCAGCAGTTACAATTGCCCACAACAGACAGATGATGAAGAATATACTGTTGCATCATATCCTCTCTGCTGTGTGTGTGCAGCCATTGACATGCTAATGAGCTGACCCAGAACCCAGAATGACCTCATTCAGCCTCATTGTCCTCTGGCTCAGATGGTTCTCGACAGTATGTGGACCCCAGGACTAAAATTCAGTTAGAAAAGGAAATTGTAACGAGTAGTAGTAGTATGTGTGTGTGTGTGTGTGTGTGTGTGTGTCTGTGTGTGTGTGTGTGTGTGTGTGTGTGTGTGTGTGTGTGTGTGTGTGTGTGTGTGTGTGTGTGTGTGTGTGTGTGTGTGTGTGTGTGTGTGTGTGTGTGTGTGTGCGTGTGTGCGTGTGTGCGATTACATGCTCACAGTATATAGCCTAAGCAATGCATCCCAAATCTATCTGGTGGAAACTTCAAGACAAGTTAAATAAACACTACCCATACTCATGTCATTGATGTGTGGGTGAGCGTGTGGGTGCTGTGTTTTAGCCAGCATTTGTTGTTGTCTATGTCATGTGAGACAGGTGTCGGCTAAAACAGAAACAGACTGGCAACCAGGTTTGACAGGATGAGTTAGGTTACAGGAGAAGCAATTAAACAAAACTCAGGAAGGCAATTTAGGCCTCCCATGCAACCAATACACTGAAAATGATACTACGAGGCCCTTAGTTGACTCCAGTTAAACTGGAAAATGTACAGCAATGAATGAGCAGGAGCAGTTGTTGAACGAAAGCATGACATTAAATTGTTCTATCGTGTGGAATAGGCACGTCAGCTCTCTGCACAGCCCCATATCAACCCTTTGCCCCAAGCAATTCATGTAGATTGAACTTGATTCAACTACTCAACATATCACCCAACCCATGATTACTTGAATCAGGTATTAGTGCTGGGATAAAGTTTTTATATATATCACACCCTGGGGACCTTGAGAAATTTCACAGTTCTGCATGTTACACCCCAGTGAAATCCCGTCAAAGCAGACACACCTGAAGGTGATTAGCTCGTTAGCTCCCCGAAGGAGCACACCTGCAACCAGTTGGTCACTAATTAGAGAGGAAGAAACCAAAGTACACTTCCGAAACAGAGAAAACAACTGAGTTGTGTTTTAAAATGGAAAACAGCATTGTACAATTTTTGGGCAAATGAATGTAGCTGACGCACCAACAATATGTTGGCTATCTATCTCTACCATGCATTAAACACATTTCAACTGTCTCTTGGCAGGGACTCTAAACCAGAACAACTGGGCCAAGAAGTACCCATCATGTAACAATGCCAGACAGTCGCCCATCAACATCGAGGAGGAGCTGACACAGGTCAAAGTTCAGTTCCAAAAGCTGAGGTTTGAGGGCTGGGAGGAGGCGACGTCTGATAGGACCACCATCAAGAACGACGGCAAGACAGGTATGCGCTCTCACGTCACTCAGTCTCACAATAAAAACAGCATTACAGCAGCCAGTAATGAAACTGTAAAGCTACAGTAATACAGTAAAACAGGCCTATCTGCAATCAGCCATTCAGTCAGCTATTCAGGATCCACTGCCTGTGGGTAGAAACTGTCTCAGAGCCTTATGGTCTGGGTTTTAATACTACAGTGTCGTAGTAGAAGGAGGAAGTGTAGAAGAAGAAAGAAGAGGGGAAAGAGGAATGCAATACAATGTGATGATGTGGAAATTATTATATATTGTTAGCTACTGAAAGACTGGGCATTGTTGTAGTGTATACTTATGGCACTTTTAAAGCTGAGGGATGTTTGTGTACGTGACTTTTTGTGTTTTCCATTGGCAAGCTTCAGGCCACATCAATATAGTGTATGTGAGTGTATGTGTGTGTTGTTTGATGGGGTCAACTAACACCCTGTGTGTGTTCTCTCCAGTGGCGGTGAACCCAGAGGGGGACTTCTATGTGAGTGGAGGGGGGCTGAGGGGCAGGTTTAAGGTGGGGAGAATCACCTTCCACTGGGGCCGCTGTAACGCCTCCTCAGAGGGCTCTGAACACAGCCTCAATGGGGTGAAGTACCCCCTGGAGGTAAGACCTGACATTCGCCCATTATAACATCACTATGACAGAGTATAACCTTGTTATAACCTCCATATGACAGAGTATGACTTCATTGTAACCTCCCAAGTAGGGCAGTATGGCCAAAATATCTTGGCACAATATCTTTCAAATTTTTGACTGATTGGCTGTATTTTACAGTATTTATTCCTTTGACACGTACCAACACAAGGGTGTGATCATTCTACAGTGGTCCCTGCAGTGTACGCTTAAACCGAAAAAGTGCTTGTGCTCTCTTCGAAGAGAGATTGTCCGGCTCAGTAAAGCCTCAAACATAAATTGTCCGCAATGGTGAAATGGCCTACTTCTATGTGAATTAATGAGGAGGCGGAACACAACTTAATTCAAACTGTTGTTAGAAAATAAAAACGAATCTGAAATGGACAAATTGAAACAAATCCTATAGATAATTAGCAGGCAGTGTGCCTTGGTTTGAGGGCAGCATGGTTTAACTGTCCTGTTGCATAACAATCACATTTTGGAACAGTGAGTGCATTCTGACATCACACGCATAAAAAAACTCACGCTGGGGCGACCGTTACAGGTATTTGGAACTCACACTTGAAAAGGTTAAGTTTCTGAATAGTTCTAAATATGTTTTATGCGTTGTACATGACCGTAGGAATTCTAAGTGGTTTTAATTGTCTTTCTCCATTCTGATTGTTTTATACTCAACCAAACTAGGAAAAAACTGACAGTGAAGTAATCCAATTTGTTTAGCATTGTATCAAAATATTGCTATAGACAGTATTGTTAAAATCCAAATCCAAACCTTACCTTAAAATACGATATATCACTCAGCCCTACTCCCAAGGACAGTACAAGGGATATCAACCATCTCCTGTACCTTGTATCTGTCTGTTCCAGATGCAGATCTACTGTTATGAAGCGCATCGCTTTGAGTCCTTAGACCATGCCATCAAGGACGGGGGCAGGATCACAGCTCTCTCTGTGCTGTTTGAGGTGGGCATGAGTGTGTGGTCATTTTCTGAGTGTGTCTGTATCAGTGGTGTAAAGTACTTAAGTAAAAATACTAATAAGCACTACTTAAGTAGTTTTTTGGGGTATCTGTACTTTACTTTACTACTTATTTTTTTGACTACTTTTACTTTTACTTCACTACATTTCTAAAGAAAATCATGTACTTTTTACTCCATACATTTTCCCTGACACGCAAAAGTACTCGTTACATTTTGAATGCTTAGCAGAACAGGAAGATGGTCCAATTCACACTTATCAAGAGAACATCCCTACTGCCTCTGATCTGGTGGACTCACTAAACACAAATACTTTGTTTGTAAATTATGTCTGAATGTTGAAGTGTGCCCCTGGCTATCCGTAAATAAATAAAAACTAGGAAATGGTGCTGTCTGGTTTGATTAAGCTGTGAGGGGAACGGCACCTCCTTACCTTCAGGCTCTGATCAGAACCTACACCCAAACGAGGGCACTATGATCATCCACCCCCTACCTCTACGGAAGCACAGTTCCCGCTCAGCCCAGTACTGCAAAGCTATTCGCTGCTCTGGCACCCCAATGGTGGAACAAGCTCCCCCATGACGCCAGGACAGCGGAGTCACTGACCACCTTCCGGAGACACTTGAAACCCTACCTCTTTAAGGAATACCTGGAATAGTATAAAAGTAATCCTTCCACCCCACTCCCCCATAAAAAAAAGTGGTTGTCCCACTGGCTATCATAAGTTGAATGCACCAATTTGTAAGTCGCTCTGGATAAAAGCGTCTGCTAAATGACGTAAATGTAAATGTAAAATTAATATAAGGAATTTGAAATGATTTATACTTTTACTTTTACTTTCAAATTATATTTTAGCAATTACGTTTACTTTTGATACTTTTTTGATACTGATCAAATACTTTTAGACTTTTACTCAAGTAGTATTTTATTGGGTAACTTTCACTTTTACTTGAGTCACTTTCTATTAAGGTATCTTTACTTTTACTCAAGTATGACAATGGGTACTTTTTCCACCACTGGTCTGTATGTTTTGACCTACTATGGCCACATTTTATATAATGAATGTCTGGAGTATATGGAGTGTTAAGTGTAGCTCAAGCCAGAGGCTTTCCCCTGTGTGTGTGTGTGTGTGTGTGTGTGTGTGTGTGTGTGTGTGTGTGTGTGTGTGTGTGTGTGTGTGTGTGTGTGTGTGTGTGTGTGTGTGTGTGTGTGTGGGTGTGGGTGGGTGTGTGTGTGAGTTCAGGTAGGTAGGTACTGTAGATTGGCGGGAGTGGGTGTTCTTGACAAGTATGTCATCTGTTGACACTGACAGGAAGCGGAGTGTGCCGATGCATTTGATTTTGTGTGTGTGTGTGTGTGTGTGTGTGTGTGCGTGCGCACGTGTGTTTGTGACCTGTGTCAAGAGTGTTTGGTGGATAATTTTGCATCCATACCAGCAACGCTTTTCATAGTCAATGAGGGATGACTTACTGTATCTACTTGACTAGTCTAAACAGTACCTTTACTGAATAAACAGCCTGGCAGTAACTGACAGTGTAGAATACCAGCAGGTCAATACCATGTGTGTGAGCGTGTGTTGAGGAGATTAAACCACACATGTTAGGCTACACTCCGCTGCCCACCTGGGAAATCAAAGGGGACAGGATAGTGGAACGGATTACCCACTACAGCATCAGACTGAGCAGAGATTAGACATGCTACATAGATGGTCAGCTGTGGAATATCAAGTCTTTAGCTATTAGCTTAACATCAGTGTTGGCTTTAGCTTAGCATCAGTGTTAGCTTCAGCTTAGCATCAGTGTTAGCTTCAGCTAAGCGGGTCACATCTTTAAAGGGGCATTCAGCAGTTGAAACAATAACAAAGTGGACTCATTTTACATTTACATTTTAGTCATTTAGCAGACGCTCTTATCCAGAGCGACTTACAGTTAGTGATTACATATTTTTTTTATACTGGCCCCCCGTCGGAATCGAACCCACAACCCTGGCGTTGCAAACGCCATGCTCTATCAACTGAGCTACATCCCTGCCGGCCATTCCCTCCCCTACCCTAGACGACGCTGGGCCAATTGTGCGCCGCCCATGAGTCTCCCGGTCGCGGCCGGCTGCGACAGAGCCTGGATTCGAACCAGGATCTCTAGTGGCACAGTTAGCACTGCGATGCAGTGCCTTAGACCACTGCGCCACTCAGGAGCCCCTGTTTCAGTAAAAAGCTGAGGGATGGGGCTGGAGAAATGTAACCACTCTCAAATTCATAGACAAAGCTATGTATACAAGGACTGGCCATGCATTATATCAAGATTATAGTTTTAGCCATTATTATGAGGCTACATTGGGTTTATTTATATTTACTTTGTTTACAAACAATATAGTAAAACACGCTTATATTTTGGGTTCTGATTGGGTACGACAGTTGAACTAAGCTCATGAGGCCTTTATAAGTTATATTCTTCAAGAATCAATGGGTACATATAATTAATTTATGTCCTAAAATGGATGAAGCAACTGCAGATTGCCCCTTTAAAGCAGCCTAAGAAATGTAGGGATACAAAAAGGTAAGGGGGAGGAGATGAGTAGAGGAAGCCACTGTAGACTTTTGAGATGCCTGACTAACCTGCTGCCTTTCGCTCTTTACAGACGAGTGTCGAAGACAATGACAAATACATAGCCATTATCGATGGAATCAACAGTGTCAGCCGATTCGGTATGTCAACCTGGCTTAACCCTAATAACTCTAACCTCAACCAATCAACTTAAAAATATATATATAATAATCTGCTGTGAGCACAACCATAATTATCTCCCTTGCATTTCATTATCAATGTATTACTGCACAGCACTGTTCCTAAGTTTCAGTAAATGTTTGTTGTACAGAAGATAGTTAATGCTAATGGAGGTTGAAGTTTGCCATGCAGGTAGGCATTACAGAGTGCATCAACTCATTTTATGTCAATTCAAGGGCCACTATCCCCCACAATCATACACCCACTACCTCACTGTGCCATAATGTAACACCCAGGCATGCACGCATGCACAAACACACATACACACTTTTTTCTTTATGTTTACCCTCTATCGTTTATCCTCTATCGTTGTCTGTCATTCTCTCTTCCTTTTGATCTGTTCCTCTATTTCACTTTTGCTTCTCTGTCTGCCTTCCCTACACTTTCCCCCTCTCTAGGTAAGAGTGGGATGGTGGGTCCCTTCTCTCTCCGGGGCCTCCTGCCCAACTCCACAGAGAAGTACTTCATCTACAACGGCTCCCTCACCACCCCACCCTGCACTGAGACCGTGGAGTGGATCGTCTTCAAGAACACTGTGTCCATCTCCGACACGCAGGTGGGTCTGTGTGTGAGTGTGTGTGTACATCCATGTGCACGTGTGTGTGCCTGTGTGCATGTATGAAATCAGAGAGTGTGTGGAAATATTGTTTTTGTCAGTACAGAAGAAGAGAGCATGAGAGACAGAAAGAGAGAGAGGGAGAGTGGGAGCACCACCTTTTCTCACTGTTCATCCACTGTCTGTTGACAGCTGTCTTTTAGAGTGTGAATGGGTTGGGTGGGGCCTTAACATACACTGCTTCATCTGTATAGTAAAGGGCATTGCATAAGGTTATTTTCACAAGTCACTGCTAGTCTGTTTCATTATGCCAGCGCCTGTATCTTTTTGTTTTTGTGTCTGACTTTGTGCCAGTCCTTTGCTTTTGATTTATGTCTGTAATTGGTTGTGGCTCTCTGAGTGTGTGTGTGTGTGTGTGTGTGTGTGTGTGTGTGTGTGTGTGTGTGTGTGTGTGTGTGTGTGTGTGTGTGTGTGTGTGTGTGTGTGTGTGTGTCAGCACCATGCGTTTCAGTTTAAGCAGAGTAAAGGCCTCTGTGCCTTTATTTGTTTGATTTAATGACAGCTTGTGTATATCTGTCAATCACAAATCACAAATCCTTTTAAGTCTTTAACTGTTGACATCCTGTTGTCTGACACAAGCCTCACACACCCTTTTTCCATTTACACTGGCTTTCAGTCTGCCTATTTTCGGTTATGTATGGTATGGTAATGTCACGTCTCATGTTTCAAAACACTTTGAAAGGCCATTTTGGGAGAATTGTTCCTCTTGTGTAGCTTGGTAGCTTTTCAAACACTCCCTCAAGGCATATACTAGCTTTTATGTGATAGCATTACCATATTGCCAGTCGTGCATACAGCAGCCTATATATTCAAATGACATTATCCACATATTTGTTGTTTTGATAACACTTTACAATAACTAACTAATAACTATTCATGTGTAAGCATTTAAAAGCAGTTGATGCATTTACAGTGCATATGCAAAAGTATTTGTAAAAAATGTTACCATAAGAGCGCCATAATCATCATGAATACTACTGTGTGTTTCTAAACAACACCACACCTATCATTACATTTGTACATACCAATGGCTGTTACAGAGGTTGCCTGAGTCACGGTTTTGGCCCCTGGTCACACTCACAGCCACTGTGGTTGGAATGCTGTGTGAGTCAGAGGACCAGTGTTCTGTACAGTGTTACACAATCAACTGCAGAAGAGGTGTACAGTGCATTCGGAAAGTATTCAGACCCCTTCACTTTTTCCACATTTTGTTACGTTACAGCCTTATTCTAAAATGGATTACATTATTTTTTCCCCCTCATCAATCTACACACAATACCTCATGATGACAAAGCAAAAATAGGTTTTTAGAAATTTTTGCAAATGTATTAAAAATAACAAACAAAAATAGCTTATTTACATAAGTATTCAGACCCTTTACTCAGTACTTTGTTGAAGCACCTTTGACAGCGTTAAATAATGCTTTTAGCAAAAAATGTTTATTTTCAATTTAGGTTCAGAACTTTTGTGAAACATCACAGCACAGTTGAAAGATATATGGCAAATACAAATCCAATATGGATGGTGTTAAGAGATAGATGGGAGGGGTTGAATGGAGCTGAAGGTTGGGACTAATAACAACTAATAACAACAAGATAACTCATGTAAAACATACTGTGTCAGTACAACATATATACAGTGGGGAGAACAAGTATTTGATACACTGCCGATTTTGCAGGTTTTCCTACTTACAAAGCATGTAGATGTCTGTCATTTTTATCATAGGTACACTTCAACTGTGAGAGACGGAATCTAAAACAAAAATCCAGAAAATCACATTGTATGATTTTTAAGTAATTAATGTGCATTTTATTTAACAAAATTGTGAGTGAGCCCACTCCCTTGGCTGAGAAGCAACCCCACACATGAATGGTCTCAGGATGCTTTACTGTTGGCATGACACAGGACTGATGGTAGCGCTCACCTTGTCTTCTCCAGAAAAGCTTTTTTCCGGATGCCCCAAACAATCGGAAAGGGGATTCATCAGAGAAAATGACTTTACCCCAGTCCTCAGCAGTCCAATCTCTGTACCTTTCGCAGAATATCAGTTTGTCCCTGATGTTTTTCCTGGAGAGAAGTGACTTCCACGCTGCCCTTCTTGACACCAGGCCATCCTCCAAAAGTCTTCGCCTCACCGTGCGTGCAGATGCACTCACACCTGCCTTCTGCCATTCCTGAGCAAGCTCTGCACTGGTGGTGCCCCGATCCCGCAGCTGAATCAACCTTAGGAGACGTCCTGGCGCTTGCTGGACATTCTTGGGCGCCCTGAAGCCTTCTTCACAACAATTTAACCTCTCTCCTTGAAGTTCTTGATGATCCGATAAATGGTTGATTTAGGTGAAATCTTACTAGCAGCAATATCCTTGCCTGTGAAGTCCTTTTTGTGCAAAGCAATGATGACGGCACGTGTTTCCTTGCAGGTAACCATGGTTAACAGAGGAAGAACAATGAGTTCAAGCACCACCCTCCTTTTAAAGCTTCCAGTCTGTTATTCTAACTCAATCAGCATGACAGAGTGATCTCCAGCTCCAGCTGGTCCTTTTGTAGCAGGGCTGAAATGCAGTGGAAATGGTTTTTTTGGGATTAAGTTCATTTTCATGGCAAAGAGGGACTTTGAAATTAATTGCTATTCATCTGATTACTCTTCATAACATTCTGGAGTATATGCAAATTGCCATCATAAAAACTGAAAAAATATATATATTTGTGTCATTCTCAAAACTTTTGACCATGACTGTAGTCACTATTATTCTACAATGTATAAAATAGTAAAAATAAAGAAAAACCTGGAATGAGCAGGTGTGTCCAAACTTTTGATTGGTACTGTAAGTCGGAAGTTTACATACACTTAGGTTGGAATCATTAAAACTCGTTTTTCAACCACTCCACACATTTCTTGTTAACAAACTATAGTTTTGGCAAGTCGGTTAGGACATCTAATTTGTGCATGACACAAGTAATTTTTCCAAGAATTGTTTACAGACAGATTATTTCACTTATAATTCACTGTAACACAATTCCAGTGGGTCAGAAGTTTACATACACTAAGTTGACTGTGCCTTTAAACATGGCTTTAAAAGCTTTTGATAGGCTAATTGACATCATTTGAGTGAATTGGAGGTGTACCTGTGGATGTATTTCAAGGCCTACCTTCAAACTCAGTACCTCTTTGCTTGACATCATGGGAAAATCAAAAGAAATCAGCCAAGACCTCAGAAAAAAGTTGTAGACCTCCACAAGTCTGGTTCATCCTTGGGAGCAATTTCCAAATGCCTGAAGGTACCACGTTCATCTGTACAAATAATAGTACGCAAGTATAAACACCATGGGACCACGCAGCCATCATAGTGCTCAGGAAGGAGACGCGTTCTGTCTCCTAGAGATGAACGTACTTCGGTGCGAAAAGTGCAAATCAATCCCAGAACAACAGCAAAGAACCTTGTGAAGATGCTGGAGAAACAAGTACAAAAGTATCTATATCCACAGTAAAATGAGTCCTATATCCACATAACCTGAAAGGCTGCTCAGCAAGGAAGAAGCCACTGCTCCAAAACCACCATATAAAAGCCAAACTTCGGTTTGCAACTGCACATGCGGACAAAGATCGTACTTTTTGGAGAAATGTCCTCTGGTCTGATGAAACAAAACTGTTTGGCCACATCTCAAGACATCAGTTAGGAAGTTAAAGCTTGGTCGCAAATGGGTCTTCCAAATGGACAATGGCCCATTCCTCCTGACAGAGCTGGTGTAACTGAGTCAGGTTTTCATAGGCCTCCTTGCTCACACACGCTTTTTCAGTTCTGCCCACACATTTTCTATAGGATTGAGGTCAGGGCTTTGTGATGGCCACTCCAATACCTTGACTTTGTTGTCCTTAAGCCATTTTGCCACAACTTTGGAAGTATGCTTGGGGTCATTGTCCATTTGGAAGACTCATTTGCGACCAAGCTTTAACTTCCTGACGAATGTCTTGAGATGTTGCTTCAATATATCCACATAATTTTCCTTCCTCATGATGCCATCTATTTTGTGAAGTGCACCAGTCCCTCCTGCAGCAAAGCACCCCCACAGCATGATGCTGCCACCCCTGTGCTTCACGGTTGGTGTGGTGTTCTTTGGCTTGCAAGCAGCCCCCTTTTTCCTCCAAACATAACGATGGTCATTATGGCCAAACAGTTCTATTTTTGTTTCATCAGACCAGAGGACATTTCTCCAAAAAGTGTGATCTTTGTCCCCATGTGCAGTTGCAAACCGTAGTCTGGCTTTTTTATGGCGGTTTTGGAGCAGTGGCTTCTTCCTTGCTAAGCGGCCTTTCAGGTTATGTCGATATAGGACTTGTTTTACTGTGGATATAGATACTTTTGTACCTGTTTCCTCCAATATCTTCACAAGGTCCTTTGCTGTTGTTCTGGGAATGATTTGCACTTTTCGCACCAAAGTACGTTCATCTCTAGCGGACAGAACGTGTCTCCTTCCTAAGCGGTATGACGGCTGCGTGGTCCTATGGTGTTCATACTTGCTTTCGATTGTTTGTACAGATGAACGTGGTACCTTCAGGCGTTTGGAAATTGCTCCGAAGGATGAACCAGACTTGTGGAGGTCTACAATTTTTTTTCTGATGTCTTGGCTGATTTCTTTTGATTTTCCCATGATGTCAAGCAAAGAGGCACTGAGTTTGAAAGTAGGCCTTGAAATACATCCACAGGTACACCTCCAATTGACTCAAATGATGTCAATTAGCCTATCAGAAGCTTCTAAAGCCATGACATCCTTTTCTGGAATTTTCCAAGCTGTTTAAAGGCACAGTCAACTTAGTGTAAGTAAACTTCTGACCCACTGGAATTGTGATACAGTGAATTATAAGTGAAATAATCTGTCTGTAAACAACTGTTGGAAAAATTACTTGTGTCATGCACAAAGTAGATGTCCTAACCGACTTGCCAAAACTATAGTTTGTTAAGAAGAAATGTGTGGAGTGGTTGAAATACGAGTAAGTGTATGTAAACTTCCGACTTCAACTGTATATGTGTGTATGTATGTGTATGTAGGTATGTACAGTACCAGTCAAAGGTTTGCCAGATGAAAGCCACTCGCTTGGAGTTTGCCAAAAGGCACCTAAAAGACTCTCAGACCATGAGAAACAAGATTATCTGGCCTGATTATACCAAGATTGAACTCTTTGGCCTGAATGTCAAGCGTCACGTCTGGAGGAAACCAAGCACCATCCATACGGTGAAGCATGGTATTGGCAGCATTATGCTGTGGGGATGTTTTTCAGCTGCAGGGATTGGGAGACTAGTCAGGATCGAGGGAAAGATGAACGGAGCAAAGTAAAGAGAGATCCATGATGAAAACCTGCTCCAGAGCGCTCAGGACCTCAGACTGGGGCAAAGGTTCACCTTTCAACAGAACAACGACCCAAAGCACACAGCGCAGACAACGCAGAAGTGGCTTCGGAACAATTCTCTGAATGTCCTTGAGTGGCCCAGCCAGAGCCCGGACTTTAACCCGATCGAACATCTCTGGAGAGACCTGAAAATAGCTGTGCAGCGACGCTCCCATCCAACCTGACAGAGCTTGAGAGGATCTGCAGACAAGAATGGGAGAAACTCCCCAAATGCAGGTGTGCTAAGCTTGTAGCATCCTACCCAAGAAGACCCAAGGCTGTATTCGCTTCAACAAAGTACTGAGTAAAGGGTCTGAATACTTATGTAAATGTGATATTTACATTTTTTATTTTTAATACATTTGCAAACATTTCTAAAAACGTGTTTTTCCTTTGTCATTATGGGGTATTGTGTGTAGATTGATTAAGGGGAAAAAATTATTTAATCCATTTTAGAATAAGGCTGTAACGCAACAAAATGTGAAAAAAGTTAAGGGGTCTGAATACTTTCAGAATGCACTGTATATGACATGCATCCATGCGTGTGTCTAGCATGTGTTTATTTATTTTTCCTTTTCCTTTTTTTACCAGTCAATTAAGATCAAATTTGTATATACAATGTTCTTATTTACAACAAATTGTTACTGATGGCCTGTGTGTTAGGCTGTGTGAGGACTGAATACTGTATGACCCGTAGTTTTGAAGGTCTATGTGAAAATTGATGATAATAGTAATTTGCTAGTATGTGGGTCGTGCCTCCAATTCAGTGCCTTTTGAGAAGTGTAACTTGGTAAAAAAATTATAATAATTTTGATTTCACCTAATTTTAACATTCTGTCATAAAGAGCACATATTCAATTTAATAAAAAACAAGTTTTCCAATCGCAAGAGGTTAAATAAATAAAAAAAGACTATAGTAAGTGCGTACTAAGTGCCAAATAAAGTAACAGGGTTGACCATAAGAGGGTTGACGATTTAAACTTATATCAGCCATAAATCCCCTTCTGACAGGGGGAATATAATCTTGTTGTGTGCAACAGGGAGTGGCAATTGAACGCGAGCTTCACCAAAAAATTACATTGTTAAAACCTTTCTAGCCTATCTATCTATGGGTAGGTAACAGGGTTGACCTGTTATTTTCGACCCTCTCATTTTTCCACCACAAAACACCAGAAAATGGCCAAAAAGAGTAGAACCAGCTCACCTGCTTTTACACTATGATTTTACTATTAGATGTTCAATATATATTTTGAAATAAATATTTAAAAAGGAATAGTTTCACCATATTTAAAGGAGAGTTCAATTCACGTACAGGGTCGACCTTAAACTGAGGGACACACGTAAAGGAATCACTAATCACATAAAATAAATAACAATCTTCAGAAATGACTTTGTCAAAGCAACAAAATAACTAGGGCTTTACAATGATGGCTAAAACCTGGATAAATGTTGGGGTTAAGTGGGATAAAATCTTCCTAGAAGTCACAGAGGCATTGTACTGTATGAATGTGTTGGTTGTATTGTATTGTAGCTGGTGATGTTCTGTGAGGTGATGACCATATAGCAGGCTATATAACATTAAGACATGTTATAGCTATGTAATAATATGTTTATGAATGTGTTGGTTGCATGTGTTGTCGCTGGAGATGTTCTGTGAGGTGATGACCACGTAGCAGACTTCCTCTGTGACATTATTTTGAGGTTATGCTATGAGGGGTCATAAGAGGTTATAACTGTTCATTGCATTGTGTTGTAGCTGGAGATGTTCTGTGAGGTGATGACCATGCAGCAGGCGGGCTACGTGATGCTGATGGACTACCTGCAGAACAACTACAGGGAGCAGCAGCAGCAGTTCATGGGCCAGGCCTTCTCCTCCTACACCGGCACAGAGGAGGTCCTCACTCCCAGTATGTACCTGTCTGTCCTGTCTGTCTGCCTGCCTGTGTCTGTCCTGTCTGTCTGTCCTGTCTGTCTGTCTTGTCTGTCTGTCCTGTCTGTCTGTCTGTCGGTCCTGTCGGTCTGTCTGTTCTGTCTGTCTGTGCTGTCTGTTTGTCTGTCTGTCTGTCTGTCTGTCTGTCCTGTCTGTCTGTCTGGTCTGTCTTGTCCTGTCTTGTCTGTCTTGTCTGTCTTGTCTGTCTTGTCTGTCTTGTCTGTCTGTCTGTCTGTCTGTCTGTCTGTCTGTCTGGTCTGTCTTGTCTGTCTCCAATAAACCATCCAACCATCTGTCGTATTCACTCCTGGTTCTTGGCACTAACACCTGATTCAACTAATCATGGTCTTGATGATTAGGTGATGAATAGATTCAGGTTTGTTAATGCTGGGCTGGAAAAAAGTCGGCTGTCAAGTAACTCACAGAGAAATAGAGCATTAATATGTATTAAGCCTACATTGTCATTGCAGCAGAGCATAGCATATTTAATTCTGAGCAGAACGTAGCATCATACCAATAACAAACATCCCAAATATATTTGTGACACTTTTGGTGGCCTATTAAAATGTCATAGGTGGATTTTGATACATACGAGGCAAGTACTGGTAACCCAACTGAGAACCTGCACCTTGTTATGGGCAAATGTAATCTGTGACACACATGCACGCACACACACACACACACACACACACATACACACACACACACACACACACACACACACACACACACACACACACACACACACACACACACACACACACACACACATATATACAGACACATACACTGTACACTGTGGCTGTCTCACAGAGCTAATTTAATGGATCATACTGGTTCCTGACCCTTCTAAAGCCGTGATGGCAGTTTGATGTGTGTTTTCGACTGGTTAGACATCAGCATTAATCAGGACTTTAACTAGCATGTGGCATGCTGGCAGGCATTCAATATAAGACAGCATGTGTGTCAGCATCTGTGTGTGTGTGCCTCTCTTAATTATACCCAGACTCTCCTTATATCCTTGAAAGGGGAATTTAATTGCTTAGGCACCAGGCTAATACACTAGGGACAGCACTCCCTCTCTCGCATCTCTCTCTATCTCTCTCCCTACTTTACGTGTCATGCCAGCATTGATATTAGTCTCTCAGTTTGAAGTTCTCTCCCCTCTTTTTTTAGACCTGGTGGTCGCTAGGTGTTGCTAGGTTACCTGCTCAGAGTCTGTGGCTGGCCCCTCACTTTCATAGAGCACTTTCCAAACGTCTTTGGAAAATGGATACAGCGCATTGAATATTATATATTATGTACATGAATAGGTGTGAGATGCACGTCACAACAAAATAAAATAAAGACTGAAAAAGACTGCTGTTTCTTTGCTCCTCTCTGCCCTCTTGTGCTCAAAATGAGTTAGTACAAATGTGAGTCTCTCTTTCTTAAGTCCCTCAGCATCATTAAAAACATAAAAAACACCCCAAATGATTTCCATGGTCTACTCTTGTGACGCCCTTATGACCCTTCTGGGCAAAGATGATAAGTGACTAAGTAAACTGAAGTGCAGGCTTTAGCGTAGATCGTGTAGGAAATGTGTCAACAGTTCAGTTATTGTCCCTGGCCATTGTCTCAGGTCTCATTTTAATTGATTTAAATCTCTTTCTCCCCCCTCTAATCTGTGTTAATCCCAGGGTCTCAGTGTGTCTGTGAGCTGCATTAGTGCCGGAGCACTAATCTTTGATGGTGACCTTTGACACAGGCATGAGGCACAGATTTATCCCTCTTAACGGAAGAAACACCCAGTTGTGATGACCATTATTCCCCCATGCAAAATTGAGAACAAATATTCTGGTTTTGGTGCCAGGAATGAAGTTTGACATTTATTCTACACATTTCTTTGTACCACTGCAAGTGATTATTTTACGTTGAATTCTTAAGAATCTAAAATAATTTGGATTTATTTCTCTCTCTCTCTCTCTCTCTAGAGAGCTAGCGCAGTACGCTCTCCGGAAGAGTCGAGCGATCTGAGGAATGCGCGATGTCTAGCTGGCGAGAAGAGTCTTGAGTGGAGCTGAGCGAGCGCTTTCTCTCCTCTCTCTTCCTCTCTCCTATCGGTCTAGCCTATCTCTCTCTCTCTCTCTCATCTCTCTCTATCTCTCTCTCTCTCTCTCTCTCTCTCTCTCTCTCTGTCAGTCTGCAGTTCAGAGCCGGAGAACGTGCAGGCAGACCCCCATAACCTGACCAGCCTGCTGGTGATGTGGGAGCGGCCACGGGCGGTGTACGACGCCGGGATAGAGAAGTACTCAGTTACCTACAAGCTGGCCCAGGGAGAGGACCCTCCAGCCTTCGAGTACCTGACCGACGGAGACCAGGATGTGGTGAGGGACATTTACAGTTGAAGTCGGAGGTTTACATACACTTAGGTTGGAGTCATTAAAACTTGTTTTTCAACCACTCCACAAATTTCTTGTTAACAAACTATAGTTTTAGCAAGTCGGTTACGACATCTACTTTGTGCATGACACAAGTAATTTTTCAAACAATTGTTTACAGACAGATTATTTCACTTATAATTCACTGTATCACAATTCCAGTGGGTCAGAGGTTTACATACACTATGTTGACTGTGCCTTTTAAACAGCTTGGAAAATTCCAGAAAATGATGTCATGGCTTTAGAAGCTTCTGATAGGCTAATTGACATAATTTGAGTCAATTGGAGGTGTACCTGTGGATGTATTTCAAGGCCTACTTTCAAACTCAGTGCCTCTTTGCTTGACATCATGGGAAAATCAAAAGAAATCAGCCAAGACCTCCACAAGTCTGGTTCATCCTTCGGAGCAATTTCCAAACGCCTGAACGTACCATGTTCATCTGTACAAACAATAGTAAGCAAGTATAAACACCATGGGACCACGCAGCCGTCATACCGCTCAGGAAGGAGACGCGTTCTGTCTCCTAGAGATGAACATACTTTGGTGCAAAAAGTGCAAATCAATCCCAGAACAACAGCAAAGGACCTTGTGAAGATGCTGGAGGAAACAGCTACAAAAGTATCTATATCCACAGTAAAACGAGTCCTATATCGACATAACCTGAAAGGCCGCTCAGCAAGGAAGAAGCCACTGCTCCAAAACCGGGACAAAGATCGTACTTTTTGGAGAGATGTCCTCTGGTCTGATTAAACAAAAATATAACTGTTTGGCCATAATGACCATCGTTATGTTTGGAGGAAAAAGGGGGTGGGTCGCAGGCCGAAGAACACCATCCCAACCATGAAGCACGGAGGTGGCAGCATCATGCTGTGGGGGTGCTTTGCTGCAGGAGGGACTGGTACACTTCACAAAATAGATGGCATCATGAGGAAGGAAAATTATGTGGATATATTGAACCATCTCAAGACATCAGTCAGGAAGTTAAAGCTTGGTCGCAAATGGGTCTTCCAAATGGACAATGACCCCAAGCATACTTCCAAAGTTGTGGCAAAATGGCTTAAGGACACCAAAGTCAAGGTATTGGAGTGGCCATCACAAAGCCCTGACCTCAATCCTATAGAAGATTTGTGGGCAGAACTGAAAAAGTGTGTGCGAGCAAGGAGACCTACAAACCTGACTCAGTTACATCAGCTCTGTCAGGAGGAATGGGCCAAGATTTATGAAATAAATCATTCTCTCTACTATTATTCTGACATTTCACATTCTTAAAATGAAGTGGTGATCCTAACTGACCTAAAACAGGGAATCTATACTAGGATTAAATCTCAGGAATTGTGAAAAACTGAGTTTAAATGTATTTGGCTAAGGTGTATGTAAACTTCCGACTTCAACTGTATGTAGCGGGGGTGGTTCACGGAACTAATGCTTGTGAGCTGGAGCTCAGCAAACTAACACACGCTGATAACCAAACCCTGTCAATCACATTTTGGAAGGTTTGTGTGAATGAACAAATTAAGGAATGAATGACTGAAGAAACAAACAAAGAAACTAAAGAACCATAGAATGATTGAATGCAAGAACAGATGCTATAAAGGTATAACCCTCCACATCTCCATCTCCATCACCACCACCACCCTAAATCCCATGTACTCCCCTCTCCCTGTCTTTCCCCAGGGGGCCATATTGCAGGACCTGATGGCCAACACCAGCTACGTGGTTCAGGTCATGGCGGTCTGCACCAACGGTCTGTACGGCCGCGTGAGCGAGCAGCTGACCGTCGACATGCCGATCGACGACCCCGGTAAGAGCGACCGCGACCGTCAATACGTCTACACAGACCGTACATAGGGGGTATACTCTGCCGTAGCGTTCTGATGATATAGAGAGTAGAGACCAAACATAGATGGTTGATCATTTGCAAACCAGTTCCCTTTACTGTATCGCTTTAATGGTAGGTCTTAACAGCAAAGTCACACTTACCACTAGTGTAGTCTAGTCAGTCAGTTTGCAGATAAGATGCCCTGAAGGCTTCTCAGATAGAGAATTAACAGATTGGGAATTCTGAAGAAGTTAAGATATAGTTCTGTCGTGGTTTCTGATTGGTGTCCACGTATGTCCACAAATGACCACACATTTCACACCCACCGAACTGTCACTGGTTTCCAGAGACACTTCTGTTTCCCCAGCCGTCTTGGCCATGCTCCCTGTATGATGTTGTTTGTGATTTGAAGCACCCCCCCCCCCACCCCTCAGTCTCACTGTGTCTTCTCTCTCTGTCCAGTTCTGTTCCTTTAAACATGCACACAGTTCCTCTATGTGCCACAGTAAATGTACTGCGTGTAGTGTACTCTGTCTCTGGTCAAATCTTCTGTCCGCCTTTCTTTGTACCTTTTTCAAATGTGCTTTGATTTCTAAGACGAAGAATGACCCCCTCAATCTGTTTGGTTAAGGTCAAAGATGATTCCATGTGTCCCTTCTATGTCACACAAAATACAAAAAATTGCACTTTTGTTTTGAAATGGCATCTTTTCCTCCTGTCACAGTAAGAGGATGTTTGCTTATGTGCAGCATTTGTATGAAATGATGGGTACTCTGTATCTGCTGAATTGTACGTTTATAATAAACACATCTTGTCTTGCTAAAAATCCTCTGTATCATATTTCGATGTGCATGAATTGTGTACACTCATCCAAATGACTTGATACAATTGTGTGACCGAATGCGCTGTGACAATTGTGGTGACAAAACATCACATTTGTGAATCGCGTTTGTGAATTCATTCATTCATCCCTTCCCTCTCCACTTAACTTTTTAAAAACCCACCTCATGCTTTACAAACCCACTCTGATCTGGCCTGAGGCCTCCATGATGTGTAACTTAGTCCCATCCAGGTAAGAGGATGTGTGCGTGGGCCTGTGTGTGCATGTGCATGGGTGTGTTAACACTCAGTTTGTGCTGACCCGGAAGTACTACCTGTGGATAACTTCTAACTTCATCCGTCATTCGAGAGAGAAAAGCAAGGGCAGTGAGAGAGAGGAGCTTCTCTTCGAGAGGAGAGAGAGCCTCGATCGCGATCCTCCTCTCTCTGCTCTCTCTCCTCTCTCTCTCTCTTCTCTCTCTCTCTCTCTCTCTTCTCTCTCTCTCTCCCTCACCTCACCTCACTGGTGAGACAGCGAACATATTCACAAAGATTTCGAATATAGGTTCATACTATCTAATTTTTTGCCGCTTCATATACTGTGGACCCATTGAAAGATGTGGATATCAAGCTTCCGAAGATTTTTCTCAAGCTTTTATCCTGGACCTGAAGACCAATCTGTGAATTAAAATACAGTGTTGCACCCAATTCATCAAAAACCTACCATCAAAAACAGAATGGTTTTCACATATACTCAACCTGTTTGTGTGTGTGAGTGTCTCCTTATGGTTATTCTTTCAGTTACATTTTAATTTACGTTTAAAGTAAAGTGTCTGTCTGTAAGAACGTCGTTGGGTTTGTCAATGGGACCAGTATCTCAGATTATAATGTCATTGTTACTAATTGTCAAAGTTGTAACTAAGGGCTCTCTTCAATCCGCATCGTGGAACCTTTACAGCATGATTGAAATTTAAAGGCAATGTTCCTGCTTTAGCGGAGACTGCATTCACGGTAAACGCTGCATATGTCGGCTCAATCGGAAATTACCTTTCAATTTATAACGCAGAATCTGTAATGCTTCAGTTTTACAGATTGATTAGAGCCCTAAATTGAAGCCAGAAGAAAAACAATCACACAAAACAATGTCTAGGCTGTTATCTTCGTAACTTGTCAGACTGTTGACCATAATATGTTGAGAGATATCAAGTATCAGTCTTAGTTAGGTATTTGTATGAACATACGTACAGTAACCCAGTGAGCACAAGACATTGAAAAAACATATTTTCTACCTCCCAAAAACATATTTTGCTCATAGGGAAGGTACTTTATTGTTTCCAAAATGTTTCTAACGCTCTCATCTGTGATTATTTTCAGAGGACACCCCTGATCCAGATTCTACTGGATTTGAAGAGGAAGTAAGTATAATATAACATACATTTTGCTTATTTCATAATGCAATGTGGTGATACTGTCTGTAGCGCACTGCAATAAAAACATTCATTTAAACGTAGGACATAGGACAAGGAGTAGTGTCTCATTACAAGGCATCAGTATATGTAGTGTGTGACTGTGTGTATTTCCCCACCAGGAGGACTATGGACCCCCGGTTGAACCGGTTGAAGACCAGGACAATGACATGGACTGGACCACCCCAAGCTCTACGAGGACCAGGCCCAAAACAACCACTGGCCCACCAAGCCTCCCCTTGCCTGGTATCAGAACAACCACTCCTTCTGTCCAGAGGAGAACCATCACTCCAGGGTCTCCTTTCAAGACCACTCAGCCCAAGCGATCCCATACATCCACGGAGCCGAGGGTAAGGGACCGCACCACGACCAGCGCTCCAGCAGAGGGGGCTGTCTTACCAGGCAGCAGAGGGAGGGGGAGTACCCAGAAGTATACCACTACAGCGACCATGCCGCTGTCTCGCACTGATGACATCACCACTTCCTCAAGCAGAAAGGAGAAGGGCAGAGGGATGGGGCGCCCCGTGACCGTCCCAAGCGGCAAAGGCAGCAGTGTTTCCATGGCCACCCCTCTTCCGGAAAGCTGGACCGTGGCCACTTCTTCCCCCTCCCTCTTTCAGGGGGTACCACCACAGCCTACAAGTCCCAGCATGCCCTTGTTTTCGTCCACTGCCTCCTCCTTCGGCAGCGTTCTCTCGCAGACCACGCAGCCGGTGTTCAACGGTGAGATCCTCCCCTCCACCCTTCCTGTGTGTGACACGACGACCCCTGGTTACCCCGGCTCCACCCCTAGCAACGCCCCCACAGCCTGCCTGCATGTCCCTCCTTCGTCTAGACCTGTGTCGTCTGTGACCCCTCCTGCTCGGGACTCCCCGCATGCTGCTACCGCACTGTTGTCTAGTGGTGACTCATTCCTCGCTCCCTCCTCACGCTCCTCCCCCACCCTGTCTCTCCTCCCTCACCCCTCACACCCCCTGTCTGGTTGGGAGACAGTAGTCTCTCGTGGTGTTAGTGATGATGGCGATGTGTTGTCTGGTTCTTCGTCCATGGCCTCGGGTGACCCCCCACTATTTAGTGACACTCCCCCCCTTCAAACTCTACCTGACACGCCCGCCGAGCGAGACCTGTCTGAGCTAGCCTCTAGACCGCTCCCTGCAGCCTCTCTTTCCCTGCAGCCTTCTCTTCTCCTCTCTAGTGACTTCTCTCTGTCCAGGGCCACCCCGGGCCTCACTGACTCTGTGTCTGGCGGGCTGGGGGACTCTAGTTATGCTACGGGCGGTGTAGTAGAGTCTTCTCTGTCGGGGGTCGTTGATGGTGGCGCTGGGTTCACGGTAGCTAGCAATGGTGTGGAGTCATTGTGTACCTGCTCGCTGGATGGCTCCTCGTCCTCTTCCTGGTTGCATGCCTCTGCTCACCTCCCCCTGCCCACGTCTGACTGGGGGGCGGCTAGCCTAGCACTCTACTCCTCCGGTAGCGACTTAGACCATCTCATCCATTCATCTCTGGCGGGCTCCACCAACCCGTCTGGAGGTCAGCCTTTCTTCTCTTCCTCCTCCTCTCCTCCTGTTCCTCCTCATCCTCCTCTCTCTGGTTCCCATAGTGACCTGCACGTTTCTGTTACAGCCACGGCGTCCCGCTCCAAGGACCGCTGGGTCTCGGCAATCCGAACCTCCGCCCCCTCCTCCTCTTCCTCCTCCACGGCCTCCCCCGTCACCCCCACCCTCACCCCTGATCTGCAGACGGTAGACAGTAGTGCGTCTGGCTCGACCCTGTTGGGAGAAGCCCAGGACGAGCTAGATGAGGAATGGGACAGGGTTCAGAGTTCAGCCTCGGGGGAGGGCACGCTCCCTTACATCCCCACCGTCCCCCCCCCATTCACCTCTGAGGTCGCCGCCTCTACGGATGCCGACAATGAAGAACGCTCCTCTGCGTTTTACTTTGAGAGTGAGAGCGGCAGTGCCGTCGCCACGGAGATGGCAGGGAGCACAGCAACAGTATTCACGGTAACTGCGGCGGTGGCCTGGCCGCTAGGTGGGGAGGAGCAGAGTGGCTCGGGACAGGACGAGAGCCCATACGACAACGAGATGTCCTCAGACTTCAGTATCCCCGAGCGCACAGAGAGAGACTCTGAGGAGGAGGAGCCAGTCGCAGGTAAAGAACCATCCACAAGGGGGCAACATCTCCCCGTACATCAAGGCAAAGCACAGTGCTGCACCTGTTGGATTGGGGGAAAACTACAGCTTCCATGATGCCAATGGAACAGAAATACTCTGGAATTTAGGAGGCACATCACCTAACACACCACCTGTCTACGATAACTAAAATCCCATAATAAGAAAGTGTGTGTGCGAGTGTGCGTGTTTGTGCCTGTGTGTGTGTTCACCATCATGGCCTTTCTGCTTTGTAGAAGAAGATATCACTTTTTTATACATTCTGATTTGTAGACCTAACCATTTAGATCCAGGCAGCTATACTGTGTCAAGTTCATGTCAAAGTTCACAATCAAGTCCATGTTCATCATCATTTCAGTGTTCTTTGTTACATGTTTTCTGTTATATTTATTTACATGCACATGCCTTTGTCTCCACTGTTTATTTGCTCTAACATCATGTGAACACCATTGGTTAGAGCACTTCATCTCCAGTAGAGGGCAGCAGATCTCTTGCAAATCACAACTCGCACCGAAATAGATTGTTTGCCTTAGCAGAGCACGAGTGGTCTAATTCCCCATTAAACAGTCTATGTAGTTCACAAAACACTTGAGACAGTCTCAGGGCCCCTGTTTAGAAACTTTTCAGATTTTTGACCTTGAAGATCCTCTATAATATCCCATATCTTTGTCAACATTCAGACCCCAGACAAAACAGCTCATCAATAGAAACGACTATCTTCATTCAAGCCTTTGCATTAGAAGCGGATAGAAAACAGTTTTGCCAATGGGTTTTTATGGTCTCCACTCATTCACACTTCTTATACCTTTGCTGCATTGAGAATCCCATAGATGTAAGCCATTGTGTGCTTTAAGCTTCGAGCCATACTCATGAACTAACCTTTTAGTGCATGTTAACTTTGTGAAAGCATTTGTATTCACTTTCATCCATTGTCGCCATTGTATAAGGTTTAGAGAGGTCGCCAGAGGTTTAGATGTGTTAGCTGAATGGGTATAAAGATGTTAAAGCACAGGTCTACTGTAGCGTTTCAAATTGAAGTCAACAAGTCTACGTAGTTCAAGCAGGAGCTCTGAATTATTCTATGTATTAGAACATAAAGGTACGTTGGACTATTCTTTAAAGGTGCAGTTTTTTTTATCAACATAGCTATCCTTTCACTGGTTTGAAAATGATAATACATGTAGTTCAAATGCTAGAGTAGTTTGATGCTAACTCAAGTTTCACTTGCCAAGTGCTGTCTCACCTCTATGTGAAATGACATATGTTTATATTGCAATACTTGCTCAACCTTTGCAATGTTTGTTCTTGGGTATTGAGTGTCGATGAGTGCGTGTGTTGATTTACTACTGAAGTGTTCGTGAGTCAATATGTAGTAGTTGATTGAGTGAATGATTTGTTGTGGGAGTTGTGTCGTGTGTCTCAATAGTCAACATTAGCTCACTCCTCATCCATTGACCCCTCCTTATCTATTCTCAACCCACTTACAGAGGCCAGTAACAGCAGCCATGAGTCCAGGGTGGGTCTGGCCAGGGATAGGGAGAGGAGGGCCGTGGTCCCTCTGGCGGTGGTCTCCACCCTCACCTTCATAGGACTCATCATCCTGGTGGGCATCCTCATCTACTGGAGGTAAGACCAGGTGGAGCAGGTGGAGGAGAAGGAGGATGATTATTATTAGATCCATAATCCATTATTATTAGAGCCATAATGATTATTATTAGATCCATAATGATTGTTATTAGATCCATAATGATTGTTATTAGATCCATAATTATTATTATTATTAGAGCTAATGATGATGATGAGTATTATGATGATGTTTACTGCATCTCAGTGCTTGAGGCGTCACTACAGACCCCCTGGTTTGATTCCAGGCTGTATCATAACCGGCCGTGATTGGGAGTCCCTTAGGGCGGCGCACAATTGGCCCAGCATCGTCCAGGTTTGGCCGGTGTAGGCCGTCATTGTAAATAAGAATTTGTTCTTAACTGACTTGCCTAGTTAAATAAAGGTTAAATAAAAAAATAAAAAATGTTGAGAAATCCTCTCCCATCGATTCCCCACTGACCCCCCTGACCCCAAGCATCATCTGTATAATCGGACAGCTAAGCGACATGAACAACAGCTTCCTTTCTGCATTGATAGGCTCCACACACACTGGCACCAGTAAGCCTCCTGCCTCCCTATGGGACAGCTGTGGGGAATTGCCCCAGGGCTGATACCTGTCATATTGTTATTCATCTGTCGCCGAGGAGTGGGTCTGGTTGGTCCCCAGACATCAGGGGGCACGGGTGGAGTGAAGCGGGTGGTGGCAAAGGGGGAGGGGGTTGACCTTAAGAACCTCATATTTGTCTGTCTCACTGGGAGGCCTAATCTTCTGTGGCACGGGCCCAATCTCATTCTCACTCTCACACACTTCCCCATGACACATCCAATATCTTCACTAGGGCTTCGATTTGATGTCTGACTTTTCACATGAGCTTTGCTGTGTTTGGGTAGGTTCACTTACACATAACTGCCAGCATTCAGAGTTGCGCGTCTCTAGGTATGAATACATTTTGTCCATACTGTGAGATCATAGAAAAATACTTATTTTCGCTGTGGTGGCAAACTGACCAGTCGCACAATAAAATAACCAACTTCTGCAATCCAATCAAGGACACGCTTTCAAAAATGTAAACACTTTAGCCGCATAAGACTGTATATTTCTCATCCACTGGGCTGGAGACGTGACATATTGTTCATGTTTTCTGTTATTGTATTTTCATGTTAAACCTGTAGTAATCTTGGTGCTGCTGAGGGATTAAAGCTGAGAGATGTACCCCACTCAGAGTGTAGAGTGTTGAGCTTGTGGCTCAGGGTCGTCCAGTGGTTGGGGAACAGGGCCTCGGGTGGGGTAGGAGGGGGAAAGGGCCTGCGCCTCATTATGTCCGACATGAAGGCGTCGTGTCAGCGTCTTGTAAGATGAGTGGCGCGAGGCTAAATTGCAGTAATCCCCTCCGTGTCGCGTCCTTGTACTTCCCCTGGTGACATGGTGTTCATTTGGCCACCCCACAGCTGTGCACTTGGGTTTAGCAAAGTGGGGACGTCTTTTAGAAACGCACACATGTTATCTACTGGAGACATCTCTTTGCTGGTTTTGTCGTCCAGAGTAATCTGTGTGGTGATGTCCATTTTTGGGTAGCTGAACACAGGCTCATCAGAAAGAAACGCATGCGTGATCCTGTTAAAAACGTGTCCGAGATAAGAAGGATTTTTTTTTCTGTGTTACGGACAGATTACCATGTGTTCTCCAACATCTGTGGTTGTCTTTGTATCTTAAAAAACACAACAACAAAAGTGTTTTTAGGCTGTTCTTGTCTCTGAGCGTGATCTTTTTACATCTCAAAAATATATCTACAGTTATTGTCTTTTTATTACATTTTACTCAATCATAACACCAATATTATTATTGTTTTTGTCACAGAATCTTTTACAACATTTTCACCAAACGAGAACAACGCATACAAATACCTCTTTTGCGTTAGATGAGATGGAAAAAAACTATATATCTTTGGGACAAAAAGTGCAATAGCAATGGCAATTGGTCACAGAGACAGAAGAAACTGGCAACACTTGCAGTTCTACAAGTGTATTGTTGACTTATGTCATCGTACATTTGTTTCCACAGAAAGTGTTTCCAGACTGCCCATTTCTATATAGAGGACAACACATCCCCCAGAGTCATATCTGTTCCACCCACACCCATGCATACAGCTACAGGTAACCATCCTCTGAGACGAGCACACTCTCACGCAACACACAGAGATAAAAGTGTTAAATAGCACAGAGCCACGTGGACAGGTGTCCTCTCCATCTGTTTATGCTCTCCATTTTCATCAAGCCTACCTCTGTCATTAACACTACCTCACTCAACAACTGCTTCTGCCGGAGTATGAAGTTTCAAACTTTCATTCTGATAAAGGACCTTTGTTGATCATATCAATAACCTTTGCTCTCTGCTTTTAGATGAACATGAAGCCCTTACGTTGAAGCAGTTTGTCAAGCACGTAAAGGAGCTCCACGACACCAACGCATTCTCCCGGGAGTTTGAGGTGTGCTGTCACATTCTGTACCCTTTGCTCCCTCAGATCTCTCACAGGATATAGTTTATGACAAAAACAACTAGTATTTATTGGTTACATGTTTCAATTCAGCTGTCTACCTGTTGTTAATTAAGATTTTCTGTATGTATCCATCTTGCGAAACTGTTATGTGTCGTTTGCGATGTTACACGGTGGCTGTCATTATTTTAAGGTCAGCATGCAGAAACCTTATGGGGCAGTAGGCTATGCACTGTGATGGCCATTCAAACTCACACTCTCTCTCATGCTACATGCTACAGGCCCAGATTCCTCTGAGGAGCCATGTCTGTTGTCCTTACCACTGAGCCTTATAAATGTATCATATTCTACACTGCATGCATGGATTTGGATGTTTCTCTGGCTCAAGTTAAGATAGGTTAAACTGGATATTTACCATTGCTTACCATATTAAATCCAGCTTGGCATTTTATCAGTGCTGTGTAAATGCATACATGTGTAGATGTTGTCAGTAACACAAAAATAGGTTTGTAAGTCAAAGCTGATACAAGGACATTAACATGGTACATGGAGTGAATCTGAAAGCCACTTTCGAAGCCCTGTTTATCGCATGAACAGTGTCTTTAAGTTGAGATTTGCCCATAAACCGTTTTCTTGTTATTTATTTGGACTTTTTTGCTCACTGTGTGTCATGACATTTCATTGCTGTGCTTTTTGCATTCTCACCCCCCCCCCCCCCCCCCCCCCCATTAGATATTGAAAGAGTGTTACGAGGTAAGCTGTGTCTCCCTTTTCTCTTTTGAGTCGATTATTTCTGTAGTAATTTTGTGTAGATGTTTGTCACATTTCCAGCTGCCCATGTTGACGTTTTTGCCATGCATGATGACACATTTGTGTTCGGCTGCGTAGTAATGGAGGATGGTGGGATGTTAGGGGTGGAGTGATAAAGGTCATGTGTTTTTTTAGGAGGTGCAAGTGTGCACGGTGGACCTGGGTATCACCACAGACGGCTCCAACCATCCAGACAACAAGAACAAGAACCGATACATCAATATCCTGGCCTGTAAGTCAAACATGCACCTTCAAACACATGTACACACACATACATTCTTGAATGCACCCAGCTTATCTCTTTCCTCCTCTACTCCTAGATGACCACAGCCGAGTAAGACTCTCAACCCAGGCTGACAAAGATGGGAAGAGTGGAGATTACATTAACGCAAACTACGTTGACGTAATCCATTTTGTTGCATTTCTATCTGCACAATAACATCAGATGTTAGTAGTGTTAGAAGGGCAAATGTCTTGTTGATGTGTCAGTAGCTAATCTGTTGTTCACTCTCTTTCTCTTTACCTTCCCCTCCCTCCCTTCCCTCCGCAGGGTTTCAATAAGTCCAGGGCCTACATTGCGGCCCAGGGCCCTCTCAAGTCCAGCACCGAGGACTTCTGGAGGATGGTGTGGGAGCAGAACGTGGGCGTTATCATCATGATTACCAACCTGGTGGAGAAGGGACGGGTGAGAGACCGGGGACATTATAACTGCTTATGCATGTGCTTTATGATATATGTTATAAATGCTGAAGTATTGCAATGTTGTAATACTTATACATATTTAGTAATAGTTTATAAATAGTTTATTCATGCTTATTCTAAGTATTCTAAAGTGTTTCGTTGTGTCTCTCAGAGGAAGTGTGACCAGTACTGGCCCCTGGAGAGCCAGGATGAGTATGGTGGTTTCCTGGTGACGGTGAAGAGCAGCAAGGTTCTGGCCCACTACACCCAGAGAACTTTCACCCTCAGGAACACCAAGGTCCAAAAGGTTAGAGGCCACACTATTTACCTCATTCACCAGTAATAGTTTCAACTCTACTTCCTCACATGTATCTACTTTGGTTGCACCTACCCTACAAGCCAGTTGAAGCGCTACATCATTAGAACTTTAGTTTCTGGAAATTTCTTATGGAACTCACAAATCCGAAGTGTCAAATTGACAGTCATTTTGTGTCTCATCCTGTTCACCACTTCCTGTTTCCTCCCATCAACCCCAGGGTTCACTGAAGGGGCGGATTAACGAGCGGACCGTGACACAGTACCACTACACCCAGTGGCCAGACATGGGTGTGCCTGAGTACACCCTCCCCGTGCTCACCTTCGTCCAGAAGTCCTCCAAAGCCAGGACAAATGACATGGGGCCTGTCGTAGTACACTGCAGGTAGGAAGCCATAGATTTGCAGAATGTATAGAATAGCTTTGAGGTCAATGCCCTTTTTTCAAACCAAAATTACTAATTCAATTCAGTCAAGAAAAAATGGGTCATCTACTATATGTGAATGATTCAATTTAGGAAGTACATTTACATTCTTACTGGCATAGCAATAGAATAGAATGGACATGATCCTCCATTAAATGCAATCTCTTAACATGCATTCCGTGGCTGCTTTCAACTATTCCAGCTGAGAAGATCAACATGGAACATTATTTCAAAATACCAGGATTCAGAATCTATATAAGAACATTGCTCTATCCAACTTCTTCACAATTCTCCATTGAAATGTGGCACTTAAATGTAAACTAAGTTGTGTACCTCTACGTGTGTTTCCAGTGCGGGCGTAGGCAGGACTGGCACCTACATAGTGTTGGATAGCATGCTGAAGCAGATCAAAGAAGAGGGCACTGTCAACATCATGGGCTTCCTCAAACACATCCGCACACAGAGGAACTACCTAGTTCAGACAGAGGTGAGAGCTCAGCCAGATGGGTGGTGGGGGGGGGGGGTTGCACTTTTGGTACTTTTCCATTGGTGCCATTGCGCCAGAAAAGCTCAAATAAATGCTTCTAAAGTATTTGAAAGAATACTTTTTGATCCCAGGTCTGATACCTGGGATCTGATACATAAATGACGTAAATACGTAAATGTATACCAACAAGAAAACAGTAGATCTACTATGATCAGTTGTCCTGTTACCTTGCCAGAACCGTATGAATGACAACACCCAGCTAAGGCCTTCAACCCCTACTTTCCCTGTGCGTTCAGGAGCAGTATGTGTTCATCCACGACGCCCTGGTGGAGGCCATCTTGGGCAAGGAGACGGAGGTTTCCTCCAGCCTCATCCACAGCTACGTCAATGACCTTCTGACCCCAGGGCCCTCTGGCAGGACACAGCTGGAGAAACAGTTTAAGGTAAAGACACATGCTTATAACAGCTTATAACAAGTCATAGAGCAAGTATTTGCATTACAGAAAAATTTACAACTGGTAAACTTTCCATAAGAACTCCAGTAGGACATAAAGGGCGTAACTAAAAGTAAAACATACATTTGAAGGAAAATGTGTCTAAGGGGTTTAAAGACAGTTGTAGTTTTTTTTTCACATCAATTGTCTTTCTTTGTCCTTTGAAAAGAGCAGTTGCAACCGCTGGCAGATGTTTAAATACTAACAGTTAATCTGTCACTTGGTGCCACTGAGTACATTTACATGCATACTAATAATTCAATATTAAACAGATTATGGCAGTAAGACAAATATGGCATTAAACACCTTACTCTGCTTATCTTAATCGGAGTAAGGTCATAATCGAAGTAAGTATACGCCTATTAAAACACCTGGTTTTCTGAGCAATCTTTCAAATGATTAGGACATGTAAGCAGCTTAATCGGAGTTCCATTGGTGTATTTGATCTGCACGTGTGCTAGCACCAGCAGCGTGAGTGAAGCTTCCCTCTTTCGCACGAGTGAAGTGAGTTCTGAAAAACCGAAAGTATGCATCTTAGAAATAATTTTCACATACAAACTTTAAATGTCCGAACTCAGAATCAAATAGGCTTCCCAAAAATAACATGGTCTCTGTGGTAGAACATTTATTTAGATTGGCGATCTTCTGCATTTATCAAAGTCACATCAGGTAGTCTGATTTCATATGTGTTTATGTAAACAGGATTATTAGGGAAATCGTTCTTCTTCGAAAACATGTAAACGTTTAAATCAAACTATTATATGAATCTGACTATTCACAATAATCCGATTATTGTGTGCATGTAACCGTACTCAATGTGATTACAGCTGATATCCCAGTCCAATGCCAAACAGTGTGACTACTCGGCCGCCCTTAAAGAGTGCAACAGAGAGAAGAACAGAAACTCCTCTTTAATACCTGGTGAGTTCCAGACAGGTTTGTTCATACATTGAACAGTTTTGGCAATGTATCTACTTCTCCAGAGTCAGATGAATGTGTGGATACCATTTTTATGTTTCTGCATCCAGTATGAAGGAAGTTAGAGGTAGTTTTGCGAGCTAATGCTAGCTAGCGTTAGCGCAAAGACTTCCAGTTTTTTGCGATAAGCTAGTTAGCATTGGCTCACGAAACTACCTCAAACTTCCTTCATACTGGACGCAGAGACATAAAAATGTAAAATCCCTTTAACAGTGTGTAGACAATGAGACCGCACCCGGCCTCAACATTGTCACTTTCAATAGAACATTTAGCAAAATTCCCCCACACTTGAACCCCTCAACTAAAACTGTTATAAAAAAGAAGTAAAAAAGTTATTTGAGAACATAAACCTTGGGGCACCGTTTTGCTCTTGTTTGATGTAAGGCAAATGTGTGTGACAAAATCATGTTGTGTATATAAGCAGTAGTTATGGTTAAGTAATACTGCTTTAATAAAGCTAATCATTCTAATATTAATATTATACAAAATTACATTCTCTATACCTCATGAGGAAGTTTAACATTGTGTGGCTTTGTCTCCAGTTGAAAGGTCGCGGGTGTGTCTGTCTACGGTGGTGGGAGAAACTACATCAGATTACATCAACGCCTCATACCTCACGGTAAGAACCCAACCATTCTACATAAAATAATCAGATGCAGCAGTGGAGGCTGCTGACGGGAGGACGGCTCATAATAATGGCTGGAATGAAGTCAATGGAATGGTATCAAACGTATGTTTTTTATGTGTTTCATACCATTCCATTTACTCCATTCCAGTCATAATACTCCATTCCAGCCATTATTATGAGCCATCCTACCCTCAGCAGCCTCCACTAAGATGCAGATACTTACCACATAGAAGTAACACATTTTCAGTAAATTCCACTTTTGGTTACCTGTCTAAATTGTCTGACTGTTTATACCACCGGTTGTGTTCCCCAGGGGTACCGGCAGAGCACTGAGTTCATCGTGACCCAGAACCCACTGGCCGGCACGGTGACAGACTTCTGGAGGATGATCTGGGATCACAACGCTCAGGGTCATCATCACACTGCCGGGAACACCAGGAACACCGGGAACACCAAGCCTGGTGGGTATCTATCTGTCCTGGACACAAAACTGCTGATGTGTGCAGGCATCCATTTTGTGCCTCAAATAGAAAGTCCTTATCACATCTTTCTGTATTCTCAGGCAGAGGGGGAGGAGCCATACGTGTACTGGCCCCGCAAGGAGCAGCCAATCAGCTGTGAGGCGTTCACAGTGACCCTGCGGAGCAAGAACCAAGTGTGTCTGGCCAACGAGGAGATGCTGGTGGTGCAGGACTACGTCCTGGAGGCTACACAGGTGAGATCAGCTGAGGGAGATCAATAAGACCAGGGAGATCAGCTTGATCTCACACAGATCAGTCACAATAGCATGATCAGCAACACTACCAGTCAAAAGTTTGGACACACCTACTCATTCAAGGGTTTTTCTTTATTTTTTATATTTTTTACATTGTAGAATAATAGTGAAGACATCAAAACTATAAAATAACACAAATGGAATCATGTGGTAACCAAAACAGTGTTAAACAAATCAAAATATATTTCAGATTTGAGATTCTTCAAATAGCCACCCTTAGCCTTGAAGACAGCGTTGCACACTCTTGGCATTCTCTCAACCAGCTTCACCTGGAATGTTTTTCCAACAGTCTTGAAGGAGTTCCCACATATGCTGAGCACTTTTTGGCTGCTTTTCCTTCACTCTGTCGTCCAACTCATCCCAAACCATCACAATTGGGTTGAGGTCGGGGGATTGTGGAGGCCAGGTCATCTGATGCAACACTCCATCACTCTCCTTCTTGGTCAAATAGCCCTTACACAGAAGCTTCCATTCCTGTGGCGGTCCTCATGAGAGCCAGTTTCATCATAGCGCTTGATGGTTTTTGCGACTGCACTTGAAGAAACTTTCAAAGTTCTTGAAATGTTCCGTATTGACTGACCTTCATGTCTTAAAGTAATGATGGACTGTCGTTTCTCTTTGCTTATTTGAAGTCTTCTTACCATAATATGGACTTGGTCTTTTACCAAATAGGGCTATCTTATGTATACCCCCCCTACCTTGTCACAACACAAGTGATTGGATCAAAATAAATTCCACAAATTAACTTTTAAGAAGGCACACCTGTTAATTGAAATGCATTCCAGGTGACTACCTCATGAAGCTGGTTGAGAGAATGCCAAGAGTGTGCAAAGCTGTCATCAAGGCAAAGGGTGGCTATTTAAAGAATCTCAAATACAACATATGTTTTGATTTGTTTAACACTTTTTTGGTTACTACATGATTCCATATGTGTTATTTCATAGTTTTGATGTCTTCACTATTATTCTACAATGTAAAATATTGTAAAAAATAAAGAAAAAACCCTTGAATGAGTAGGTGTGTCCAAACTTTTGACTGGTAGTGTACTTAGAATACACTAACTACATTGGAGAGGAAGATCAGCCACACACTGTGGGATCAGCCCAAAATAACAGCCTTATAGAAAAGACCAGTCGCTATGGACCAGTCGCTATGGACCAGTCGCTAGTGCTCAGCAAATGTTATCACTGTGTCTATACCCAAAAAACATTAAACCACTGTTTATTGTTACACAGAGGGAATATATAGCAACTTGATTTTTCCATTTAGGAGTTGTTCTGCTCATATTTCCCTGGATCTTGGCCCATGGTGAAACCAAATGAAGAGTGAAAATAGAATTCAATACACGTTCCCCACACCTCAATGGAGCACAGCTGTTATTTTTCACACAGTTTTCACTCAACCATCTGTACCTCCAATCACTGGACCACTTTCAACACACACACACACACACACACACTCTCGCTCTCTCTTTCACACACTCTCTCTATCTCTCACTCTCTCTGATTGTGTGTTATTGTCCCCCTCTGGGCCAGGATGACTATGTTCTGGAGGTGAGGCACTACCGGGCGCCGCGCTGGCCCAACCCAGACAGCCCCATCAGCAGCAACTTTGAACTGCTCAGTCTGGTGAGGGAGGAGAGCTCCTCCAAGGAGGGCCCCATGGTGGTCCATGACGAGTAAGACCTATTGATTTACTGATTGATTATTTATCTGTGAAATAAGGTAATGATGTCCACTCTAAACCATTTTCAAGACCTGGAACCAATGGAATAGTCCCAAATGTCAAAATCTCACCCATCTGGAACCAGGCTCAAAACCCCTGAATCCCTTTTTTCCCTTCTCTTTTTTATTTTGGCCACTGGTAATAGATTCAAGATGATCCACTCTGAGACCTTAACCTAAGAGGATAAGAAGATATGTCCACATTTCCAATACTCTTAATATTTCTTGGAACTAAAATGCTGCACTGATCCAGGCCTATTTATACAATCCTGTCTCAATACTATTTTATGGCGCTCAATCCTGGGTTTTACTGTAAATACTGTAAAGGTTCAGTAAATACTTACAGGATTAGTGCTCTATGCTCCAGTTTGTAACATTTTCCAAATATGTCTTGGAATTAGCCCAAAGTATCTAAAGCTGGCTTAGCCCCTGGCTAATATGTCCAGAAATTAGGTCAGTTTTAAAGGCACTTCACAGCGGCGGTCTGATTTTGCAGGGTTGGCGGTGTTACTGCGGGAACCTTCTGTGCCCTGTCTACTCTGGTGCTCCAACTAGAGTTGGAGAGCTCTATGGACGTGTACCAGGTGGCCAAGATGACCAACCTCATGAGGCCCGGGACCTTCACTGATGTAGTAAGTCAATCTGAAGCACCGACTGACTGTACCTGAGTGATGCACAGCAGCCATTTTGTGTTGAAACATTCTCTCTTCAACAGCACAGTTTCTCTATTTCTCTGTCATTCAGGAGCAGTACCAGTTCCTGTACAAAGCCATGCTGAGCCTGGTTGGCACACAGGAGGACGAGAGGACGCTCCAGTCCTCTGACAACAACGGAACAGTCCCAGGGGGCCCTGTCAGCTCAGCCGAGAGCCTTGAGTCCCTGGTGTAACCATGGCAATGGGGCCCCTAACTTGCCAGTATGGACTCTTGCCTGTCTCACTGTGTTCAGTTTTTAAAGACAGCAGCTTTGCCTTTTTCACCTCCCTTTTTTCTCCTCTTCTGTTCTCCGTCTTTGAATGGCAGTTTCCTGACCGGTGGACATGATACCGTACGACCTTGTAATGTGTGCCTTTGTATATTCATCTTGTACTTCTAACGGCGTTCATACAATTGTAGATTACCTTTCCGATGTTTTGTCGATACTGCCGTCTTGAGATATTTGCTTCACTAACTGTTTTCCCTAAACTTTCGTATTTATTGGCAGGAAGCTATAAAAAAACCCCGCAACTTTTACATTAAACAACATATTATGTTAGCCTATTTTTTGTAGAGTCAATGCATTGAGCAACTCATTCTTCCATCTAGACAATGTAAATACTATTTTTGTTTGTAGCAACGGTGAGCTTTTTAAGTAAAAAATGCACAATGGCATGAAATAATACATCTAATATGTAAATAATATTATAGCAACCAAGACAATGGACCAAATTTCTATTTATACTTCTAGATTTTTATATTTTACTACAGTTTTTTAGTCAATTTTCAATGTATGGCTGCATTCAAATAACTTAGTCAAAGCATTTTTGTTATGTTTTAATGTTATAGCTAGTGTTCTTTATTTTGTAATGGACTAAATATGAAGCTTGGGGTACTGACACTTTTTAGCTGTACATGAAACTTTGCTGGATGATTAGACATAGGATTAAAAAAGTGAAAGAAAACCAAGGAAGGCGCTTTTGGAGTGGTCTGTCCATTTTTATTTACTACAATGAAGATCAATCTAGACCTGTGGGTGCACAGTAACATTAAAGATAAACTGTTCCATAATGGGTGTAACTTTAGATTGACCTGGATGCTATCACTATACAGCCTGAGGCGTGGGGGCATCATGCCCTCAGGTCAGGTGCATTGTGAATATACAGTATGTTATTAGTGCCTCAACACAGTTCATCTGACCCCATCAAATTGTTCAGCAGATAATTATTATGCATGATCATTTCCAAGTAAGGCAGCTGGGCTAAGCCTTAACAATCAACCCAAGGTATGAGCTGTCCTCAACACTAATGGAAATATGTAATCTCCATAAAAATACATTACAATAAAGGAAAAAAGTATAGTAATGAGTGAATGCATTTGCACTGTCCTTGACACTATACTATTAATAAGATGAACAGATAACAATAAACTAAAATGTAAACTGACCTTTCAACCAGATAGTTCTTATTGTTAATGGATTTTTTGACAGTCTTCACCATGGGCCTGATTCCGACATAGGAATGTATGCCTTTCCTATGCATGTCATTGCTGTGCACTTCTCAGTATTTGGTATTCAGGCTTACCTTATTCAGTCGTGTAACACGCTCTGCAGGTGTGGCTACCTTGCACGCTCTGAATACATTTCATTCAACCGCTGAAAACCCTCCCACTTGATGGCCAACAGATTTTCTTGTGGAGTTCTCATTCAATAGAGTTTTTTCAGTACATTTATCTTAAGCCATCCCTTTAAATATGGTGTACCTTTTAGTTGAAATTTCGTCTACAGAGTCACTGGAATATGTTGAGAGAACGGGTTCTGAATATTAGGAATCAATTAAAGAAATCCATCTAAATATATGCATATTCATCTCCGTTTCAGCACCAATTGGTATATTTAAAAATACTTTGATCTTTTAGATTATTTAGGTTCAGGAAAGTATTTATGAATCATAAAAAACTGGTTTGGAGAGCCTTCATTCACAAAAGAAAGAAAACCCATGGTAATGTTGAAAGATTTGTGTACATAGAATTATAATAGGGAGAATAGTGTACACTAGTAGTACACTATTGCCGGCACTAACCATGGAACTGTGTGATGACACAGACAATTATTGCACCATGCATCAGGTTCAAACTGTTTCTGCGTGGTCTGCGCTCCGCTCCATAACAATTTAGTTAGCCTTTATTTATATATTATCAACTGTTACTAATGAGCCTCAGCAACAACCACACAGCCATGACGGTGTTTACAGAGGAAGCAAATGAAAATAAACGAAACAATGCAATTAAATGAATAATGTAGGCTATACCAACTGAAGGGAACTAACAGTAAATTGGCAGTTGAATATGTGTGGTTATTACAGAACTTGGTTCTATCTGTGACGCTCGACGCGCTGCAAGTCCCGCCTCTCCCATCTCCTCATTGGTTTTTAGGAGTATATACCATGTGGGTGATAGAAAAATGAACTGAGGTCCACACTCCAGTCCAGTTGGTGGTGGTAATGTACCTTAACCCTCCCGTTGTCCTAGGGTCAAAATGACCCGCAACTGTGTTGAACCAACTTTATTTAATTTTTATATTTTGGGGATCATTTGTGAGAAGGAGGCAGTGAGACTTTAAAGAAAGTATCACTGCCTCCTCACAAATGATCCAAAAAATATAAAAATTTAATAAAGTTGGTTTAACACAGTGGCGGGTCATTTTGACTCTAGGACAACGGGAGGGTTAAAGTTGCCAACTACCATATAAAGTCCAAAGACGAAGCCTGAAGGAGGAGAGAACTAGAAACTCACTCGGTTTACCCTTTTATCTGTGGATTAATTGTCGGAGTAGAGGACCTTGTGCATTTCAGGTAAAATAACAACCCAATGTTTATATCCAGGACAAATTAGCTAGCAACAGCAAGCTAGCTAGCTAAATTGCCATACATGTTTAATGGTTTTCGACCTGTCCCGAAGTTAATATATTTGGTTCAGAGTTCGTTTTGATATTTCAACCTGCATGTCCTGATCGCGTCTGGTGTGGGTGGACAAAATCAACATGCGCACCTGGTCAGCATGTAACATTGATTTAGTCCACCAACACCAGACACCAGACTTGATCAGGACACGCAGATTGAAATATCAAAACGAACTCTGAACCAACTACACTGCTCAAAAAAATAAAGGGAACACTAAAATAATACATCCTAGATCTGAATGAATGAAATAATCTTATTAAATACTTTTTTCTTTACATAGTTGAATGTGCTGACAACAAAATCACACAAAAGTTATCAATGGAAATCAAATGTATCAACCCATGGAGGTCTGGATTTGGAGTCACCCTCAAAATTTAAGTGGAAAACCACACTACAGGCTGATCCAACTTTGATGTAATGTCCTTAAAACAAGTCAAAATGAGGCTCAGTAGTGTGTGTGGCCTCCACGTGCCTGTATGACCTCCCTACAACGCCTGGGCATGCTTCTGATGAGGTGGCGGATTGTCTCCTGAGGGATCTCCTCCCAGACCTGGACTAAAGCATCCGCCAACTCCTGGACAGTCTGTGGTGCAACGTGGCGTTGGTGGATGGAGCGAGACATGATGTCCCAGATGTGCTCAATTGGATTCAGGTCTGGGGAACGGGCGGTCCATAGCATCAATGCCTTCCTCTTGCAGGAACTGCTGACACACTCCAGCCACATGAGGTCTAGCATTGTCTTGCATTAGGAGGAACCCAGGGCCAACCGCACCAGCATATGGTCTCACAAGGGGTCTGAGGATCTCATCTCGGTACCTAATGGCAGTAAGGCTACCTCTGGCGAGCACATGGAGGGCTGTGCGGCCCCCCAAAGAAATGCCACCCCACACCATGACTGACCCACCGCCAAACCGGTCATGCTGGAGGATGTTGCAGGCAGCAGAACGTTCTCCACAGCGTCTCCAGACTCTGTCACGTCTGGCACATGTGCTCAGTGTGAACCTGCTTTCATCTGTGAAGAGCACAGGGCGCCAGTGGCGAATTTGCCAATCTTGGTGTTCTCTGGCAAATGCCAAACGTCCTGCACGGTGTTGGGCTGTAAGCACAACCCCCACCTGTGGACGTCGGGCCCTCATACCACCCTCATGGAGTCTGTTTCTGACCGTTTGAGCAGACACATGCACATTTGTGGCCTGCTGGAGGTAATTTTGCAGGGCTCTGGCAGTGCTCCTCCTGCTCCTCCTTGCACAAAGGCGGAGGTAGCAGTCCTGCTGCTGGGTTGTTGCCCTCCTACGGCCTCCTCCACGTCTCCTGATGTACTGGCCTGTCTCCTGGTAGCGCCTCCATGCTCTGGACACTACGCTGATAGACACAGCAAACCTTCTTGCCACAGCTCGCATTGATGTGCCATCCTGGATGAGCTGCACTACCTGAGCCACTTGTGTGGGTTGTAGACTCCGTCTCATGCTACCACTAGAGTGAAAGCACCGCCAGCATTCAAAAGTGACCAAAACATCAGCCAGGAAGCATAGGAACTGAGAAGTGGTCTGTGGTCACCACCTGCAAAACCAGTCCTTTATTGGGGGTGTCTTGCTAATTGCCTATAATTTCCACCTGTTGTCTATTCCATTTGCACAACAGCATGTGCAATTTATTGTCAATCAGTGTTGCTTCCTAAGTAGACAGTTTGATTTCACAGAAGTGTGATTGACTTGGAGTTACATTGTGTTGTTTAATTGTTCCCTTTATTTTTTTGAGCAATGTATATTAACTTAGGGACAGGTCGAAAACCATTAAACATGTATGGCAATTTAGCTTGCTGTTGCTAGCTAATTTGTCCTGGGATATAAACATTGGGTTGTTATTTTACCTGAAATGCACAAGGTCCTCTACTCCGACAATTAATCCACAGATGAAACGGTACAAATTTGTTTTCTAGTAATCTCTCCTCCTTCAGGCTACTTCTTCTTTGGACTTTATATGGCGGTTGGCAACCAACTTTATGGTGCATTACCACAACCAACTGGACTGGAGCATAGACCTCAGTTCATCTTTCAATCACCCACGTGGGTAGATGCTCCTAAAAACCAATGAGGAGATGGGAGAGGCAGGACTTGCAGCACGTTGAGTGTCACAAATAGAACCGAGTTCTATTTTAGGCCACGCAGACGCTCGTTGCCTCGCGCAAGCAGTGTGGATGCAATGATTGACTAACATGTATATGTACATTTAT